TAAACACATGGCAGTATGTTAGGAAAGCACCGAATTGTCACAGCCCTGGAAAAATAGCCACTTCCCTGGGGAGGCGGGGGTGTGCTTTGCTGGCCCAAGAACTCCTATGGGCCACTCTCTCCTTGTCCTTCCTTTTTTTCTCTCCATTCCAGAAACCCAAAAAGGAGCTCCCAGGGAATGTTTCGAGCATTCCAAGTGTGCCTCTGCTCTCCGGAAGCCCTACCTTTTGGGGATCTGCACAGGTGTGTGAATCACTATCAGATATGATCTTTCCCCAGATGCCTAACTCAACCTGTGTTCTGCCTGCTCTATTATCTTCAGGTAAAAGCCACAGCTCTGGGAGGAACTTTTTGTTTTTAAATAACACCTGGTCTGGCACCCAAACCTGCAGGGCTGAAAGCCACAGCAGAATCCTCCAGCTCTAAGAATCAACCCATTCATCTCCTGGCCTTCGGGTCTGGCAGCCGGTGAGGAACGGGGAAGCGCTTGTGCGTGGCCAGAGAGTGGAATGTAGAACTCCAAGCCGTTACTTGCTGCGGATTTCAGCTTGGTCCAGGAAGCAAGGAACAATGCGTGCTTCTCTTCTCTGCGGCATTCTGGCTAGTAAATACCTGTCTAGAACCTGAAGTCTTTGAACCACTCTAGTGTGTACCTTTTACGCAATGTTGTAACACCATATTAGTTCTAAAAGTAAATTTAATATGGTACTAGGGTACAAATTGCCTAGATGGCCTGGCTGATGAGGTTGCTTTCTATTTAAGATGGAGCAGATCAAATATCCACCCGAAAAATCCTTAGTAGGCATTTTAATTCTCCGTGTAGACCTCAGCCAGCTACCGGGTTACATTTCTCGTGGGTCACACTGGATTTCCAGTTCTGTGGAGGGGGAGGCTGGGGCAGGAGAGGGGAGGGAGTGAGCAGGTCTGTGCATTTAGATGCTATGCTTGCTGGCAACCTGATTGAATAGCTCGTTTTCAAATCCTTTCTTGGAAAAGGAATTCAGATTACATAATCGTGAAAAACAAACCCGTTGCCACCCGGCATGAGCCAACACGTTGTTACCGTACTTGGTGGCCTAAGGTTATGGAGCTGGCTTCCCAGCTCCAGGTACCCAGGGAAAGGGTGAGAGAATAAAAATGTTCTGTTCGGTGAGAGCTCTGCCATAGCTCTGGGATCCCGAGGCCTTTCGTGGTTACCTGGTGTTCCTTTACTGCTAATTAGGGCCCGGTGATCCTGAGGGGCAGAAGATTATTAGAGCCGCTCTTCAGATTTGACCTCTTGATTGGATCCTAGTTCTGCGGAGTTCCATTGGTTGGGCCTTCCTCGAAGCCGCTCTGGTTCTGCCTGGAGGCTGGGCGAAAGGCTGACCACTATGGGGCGCAGCTGACCACAGACACAGAGCCTCTGCTATTCCAGCTGAAGAATTCTGGAGCCCTGCAATTTCTGTTTTTAGTTTTATTGTTGTGGTGCTGGGGATGGGCCCTAGATCTGTCCTAGGCCACTGCCGACCTAAACCCCAAGCCTTGCACGTTTTTTCTCAGGCTTGGAAACAAGGGTCTCTGACTAAACCTTAATCTGTACTGTCTGCTTTCAGAGCCACACGTGGACTGTGTCCTTAGATGCCTGCCTCAGCTTTCCCGAAGGAAACTGATCAGTGCCCACCGTGGGGCTGAACAGGTGGCTAGGTGTGGTTGAGAAAGGGCGCTTCCTCATTTCAGACAGGTGGCCAAATGCAAAGATTTTTCCACCTCAAGAACAACAGTGACCTGTATTTCTATCTTCAACACAGAAGCGAGAAAAGAAAACAATCTGAGTCATCGAATGAGGCAATAACCAACTTGGTATAACTTTCCTATGATTAACATTCCGTGTAAATGTCCGAGGAGGTGCAGAAGTCACCCTCGACCTTCGATTCGCTGACACAATCTGTCTGGAACAGAGCACATAGCTGTCTTCTGAGGAGTCACCGCGGGCTTAGTTCCCGTGCTCCAAACAGCAGCCATTAAGTGGACACGCGGAGGGGAGGCTGGGATACCTTCGCGCCACCTCAGAACCAGAGGACTGTGGCGCTAAGACCTCCTCTTGGACTCAGTGTCTACAACTCTGGCTCTGCTGTCTCCTACACAGGGACAGGTGACAAAAAAAGTGCTCCTTGATTGCTGTAGTCACTGCCTTTCCACATCCCGAATACACATTCTGCTATAGTTGACTTTTTCATGACACAATATCTTGTTTTTTTATTTTTATTTTTGGTACTGGGGATCAAACTCAGGTGCTTGCGCTTGCGAGGCAGGTGGCAGAACCACTGAGCTAAATCCCCGGCTCTATTTTTTTTTTTTTTTTGAGGGTCTGACTGTGTAGTTCAGGCTGGCCTCCATTTCATGGCAATCCTCCTGCCTCAGCCTCCCAACTGCTAGAATTATAGGCCTACACAACCATATCCAACTTAGTTATCTTTTTTTGTAAAGATATAAAGCACTATTTTCTGGTGCTAGAGTCCTTGAAGCAAATTCTCCTAGAAGGAAATATAAGAAATAATCCTGTACTTTTTATCTCTCAAGTTATCTGTCCCACTTATACCAGTCACGAGAGAAATTGCTAGGTCTATTTAGCTACTTCTCCTTCTCCTGTCCAGAGGCAGAGGGAACAGAAAGAAAGTGTCCCATGGTTTCTCTGTGGTTCCGGGCTCTTCATCTCGCCCACTGAGCTCTTGGTGGGCAGAAAGTTTCTCTTTTCCTTCCTGTCCTTGACAACTTCCTTAACCGGGTAGAAGGGGGACCTTCTCTTGTCAGAGCACAGTCTGAAGGTTCTCCACTAAGGGGCTGCTTTTTCCCTCTCTCACACATTCTTCTCTCATTTGTTGGAAACTATCAGCCTGACACGGACCAGGGCCTAGAGTGGACCCTCAGCCTCTACGGCCACATTGGGAGCTGGGGGCCTGAAGCCAGGTGCGGGCCTGAAGCTTTCCAGGCAGGAAGGAGTTATTTTAGGGCTGGGAGGAGGAGGGAGGTGAGGTCAGGACCCCACCAGAGGAGAGAGGAGAGGAAGGGAAGGGCTGAGGTTTTGGTCCAGGGCTTCTGAGGCTGGAGGAGAGAGGGCTGGGGGTAAGGGAGTCACCACTTGGGTTTCTGTCTACCATGCAGGGTGCTAAAGGGGAGCACCTGATCTGAGCCCACACTCAGAGGCTCAGGATCTGACACCCTTGCTGGACCAACCAGACCGCCCCTAAAAGAGGGGGGCTGAATTCACCGATGGGACCATCTGGGATGGAGCACAGGGAGTCCCAGGAAAGCTGCCAGTCCCGAGTTTGTTGTCAGACCACCGCGGCATCTCCTTCAAATTCCCCAACTGTACTCACACGCCCTCCATGCGTGGGTCATGGTGTGCTCAGAATCCACTCAGTCTGGGTGTGCGGCACCCACCTAAAATCCCCGCACTTGTGAGGCTGAGGCAGGAGAATTGTGTGAAGCCAGGGTGTGCCACATAGTGAGACCCTGTTTCAACAAGTCCCCCCACCCAGCTGCGACAGTTTTAAGATGCTAAATTCTCTGGTTGATTTCTCAATGTCCTTTATGCTCAAATAGCCACAGAACTTGGATTCAAAGCCATTTAAAAAACATTCTAGGAGGGTCAGGATGTAGCTCAGTGGTACCGCCACCTGTCTTGCAATGCAAGTTCCTGAGTTTGATCCCCAGTACCAAAAAAAAACAAAAAAGAACAACCAAAACCCTATTCTAGGATAATTCTGGAACAGGTCTCACCAATTTAGGGCATGAGTGATTTAACCTTTCTCAAACTTGGGCTTCAGAGAAGGTGACTATACAATTTAGCTGCCAAATAAAAACACTTTGAGAATAAAAAAGGACAAACTATTAAAATGTCACCATTTGTAACATTTACTTACCAAAAATTTTTTATATTTATGGATATGTAAAATAGTCCCATTTTTAAAAAACCACTTCAAAAATACAAATCATTTTGAAAACACATGTAGCCATGTATATTAAAACAAGACATTTGATATATATTTGTATTGATTATCTGAATACTAAAACTAATACAGTAATTGCTATTGGTATATATTCCTGTACTTTATTCAGTTTCTTAGCTTTTTTTTTTTCCTTTTCGGTACTGGGAATCAAACTCAGGCCCTTGCACTGGTGAAGCAGGTGGCGGAACCACTGAGCAAAATCCCCAGCCCTTAGCTGTATTTTTTGCTAATGCTGTGGTACTATTTCACTGAGATATTTCTGTAGTGTATTTTTTCAGTTTTATCTTATTATTTTCATTTCTTCTCCATCAGATTATCACAATCTTTTCCAATCGGTATAGTTGGTAGCTCACAATATTTTCAAACTGGGAGATTATGCTTTGTTCCTGGTGGTGTGGCTCCTGGCACCCAAAGGGAGGTAATTCTCAATTCTATTTTATTTTGAAATATAACTATTTCAGCATAGCTATTTTCACAGATACCTCTTGTTTCATTCAGACTAGATTTCTTTAGGGAATACTTCTGCAAGAAAATACTCATTGGTATATTGTCTCTATCCTTTTTTTTTGTACTGGGGATTAAATTTGGCCCCTTGTGCCTGTGAGGCAGGTGGCAGAACCACTGAGCTAAATCCCTGGCCCTATACAAAATATTTTTAAAGTCAAGGGTGGATCTCAGGCCCTTGTGCCTGAGGCAGGTGCAGTGCCACTTAGCTACATCCCCAGACCCATGAGAGTTTAATTTTTATGAGTACATGTCTGCAGTACGAAGCAATTACATTCATCATCGCGGGGAGCTGGTATAACCACATAACACATCTTAATTCTTTTTGCAAGGATCCTTCTCCCATCTCTTGGTCCTTTTCCGTACTAACATGCATTTATTTTCAACTTACTGAGAAGTGAAAATTCCATACTTAATTTTGCATTAAACATTCATGTTTATTTTGAGCCTTTTTTTGAGTTCTTTGTGGCTCTACAGGTTTACTGCAAAATTTTTACAAGTGTTGACCAAAAAATAAATGCTTGTAGGTTTATTCCAGCCGGTATGTGACAAACTCATGTTAGCAGCATTGTTCACATTAACTGTTTGCATAAACTTTCTAGAAAGTGCGTTTCACCTTCTCTTCCTGGGTACAGTTTACATTTCCCTGAATTTGTAATTTTTCACTTCTAACCTTGGCCTGAGGTGGCCACCAGGGGCAGCAAACCCTTTCCCCGCGGCACCGGAAGTCAGCTTCTCAGTCACCTGTAGGGGGCCCCACTTTGTTTTATCAGCCAGCACGCCCTAATCCAGAGTGGCCAACCGGTGGCACGAGTGCCGCAGTGGGCTGTTTGTTATCATGGAAAGCTCCGAAAGGTTTGCCATCACTGACCTAAACTGTCCTATGGAGGACTTGGGCAGAGAACAGCTTGGGGAGAGAGAAGCTCATCCCGAAGGTACAGATATAGCCACCTGCAAAGTGTTAAACTCTTTCCACCTCACCTGTGTCTCACACAGTCCAGGAGGAGACCGTAAAAGAACAGCACCAGGTGATCACCTATACCCATGCTGGCTTATTTTAATGCAACTAGTCATAACGATAGTTAATTAAAACAAGAACTCCAGGACACACACGTATTTAGCCAGAAAGGTACAAGAAACTGGGAGTAAACCAGGAAGTCTGTTCACCTTCTCCACTGACCCCACTCACAGGTACTTCACAGTGAGGATTTCAGTATTTTGCTCTAATTTACGAAGTCCAGGGCCAGGTGTAGCCTCAAATAAAGCATTTATAAGGCTTCTCGTGTCATTTTTAGGACACTAAAGTTCATTCCTGGTGTGGGGTATCCTCTGTCTTGTGTCCTGCGTGTCTGCCTGGTCTTCTGGCCAGGAAATTGCATGCTTTATCCCACGATTAGCTCAATTCCTGGGTCAAAATGATGTTGAAAAGTGACACAGACAAACTGATCTCTAGCGCAGCCATGTGAGGGTGAAACTCTCTGCTGGGTGAACTTGTTCTTCAAGGTGGGCAGTGTTTTTGGCTATATCATCGTCTGTTTTGGAAACCTGGACTTGAAAAAAAAAAAACTTTTGTTAAGGACTGGGGGTTTCAACCAAAAAAGAAAAAAAAGTAACAACCATTTTTTTAAAATTCATGTTTTAAATATTTTGAACATTTTGGAAGATTTAGGGTCTAGGTAGTACTCCTATTTCCCTATGAAATGCTCTTTCTTTCTTTTCTTGGGTGGTGGTGGGCTCTGGGTGAACCCAGAGCCTCACATATGTATTTTGGGCACATGCTGTAACACTAAGCCCAATCCCAAGCCCTTATATTCAGACCAGGTCCCAATAAGTTGCCCAGGCTGGCCTAGAACTTGACGAGTCTCCTGCCTCAGCCTTAGAGTGTTTGGATTATACGCATATACCAAAGCGCCTAGTGAAATCTTTAAAAATATAAATTATTTTGCTTCATTCATAAAAATTACTTTTGCAAGAATAATAAGAGTTTTGAATTTTTGTAAAATGACTGATTCCAGAATGATAACGTTTGTCTGTTTAAACAACTTTCTTCTTTTCTCCTCCTTCTCCTTCCCCTCTTTTATTTCCTTTGTCTGCTTTCATCAGTAACTGGTTGTATGAATATTTTAAAACTCTTTTTTTGAGACAGGATCTCACTATATATTTCAAGCCTTGAACTCAGTATGTGGCCCAGGCTGGCCTCGAACTCACAGCCATCCTCCTGCCTCAGACTCCCAAGTGCTGGGATCACAGGTGTGTGCCACCACACCTGGCCTGAATTTTTGAAAATCTTAATCTCACTGTCTTCAGTTATAAAATGAGAGTCTTGACTGGTAGATAGCCAATTCAATCTAGTTTCCCAAAGTCAGCTGCTCTATCTTTTTTGAATGTTTGGAATTTTTTATCATGTTGTTTTACTATTTTGCTAGGAAGAAAGATTAAACAAGCAGTAGGTTATAGCCTATTATTTATTCTTAGATTTTCCCCTGCCTTTAAACAGCAAATGTTATCTTAGAGCGTGAACAAGAGCACTGAGGAGAGGGATAGAGGGAGAGAGGGGAAGAGAGAATTCCGTACATGGGGCTGAAAGTTTATTTCCAAAGACTTTCATAGGTGTAGAGAATCACCTAGTGGTGGGAAGAGAAAAATCATTTAAAAGTTTAGGCTTCTATTTCTTGTGAGTGGTGTATGGCTTATAATCAACTGACCTAAAACATACTAAGATGTTGAATATTTATTTTGTAATCATCTGGTCTACTGAATATTTAATATTTGCCCCCAAACTGAACATGGTAGCACACACCTGTAATCCTAGCACTTGGGAGGCTGAGGCAGGAGGATCACTGTACTGGAGCCAGCCTGGGCTACATAATGAGTTCAAGACCAGCCTGACTACACTACAAAGCCCTGTCTCAGAAAACAAACAAGGAAACAAACAAACAAAACCTAGTATTTATCCACAAGCCTTACTTTCCTGGAGAAACTCAGAGTTGCCTGATCTCAAGCTCTGAAAATAAATTCTCACCCCAAAGAATGTATTAAATTCTTTATTCTATAGTCAAAAGAAGTCCCGATCTGTAAAAACAAGCTTGTAAACATGGCCATGCTAAAATCCAGGTACTTAATCACCTTCATCGGACAAATCCCATCCTGATGACACTTCTCATGTCGCAGCTAAGGCAAGGCGCCTGTGTGCCCATAACAACAGCTCTCATAAGGAGAGGATGCCTTGTCCGCTGCCATCAATACAGCGATTTTGTTTTTTTGTTTTTGTACCGGGGATCGAAGTCAGGCCCTTGCACTTGCCAGGCAGGCAGCGGAACCACTGAGCCAAATTCCCGGCCCAGTATAGCAAATGTGTAAAGAGCCTTTTCACTTTGGTTTCTCCACCAAAACAGAGAATAAAGTCGACTCGGGTGGACGCGGTTTACCTGGCGGTTTATTTAGGCGGCGATCACAGGTAGCACAGTGGGGAACTGGGAGGAGTCAGAGAAGGGCTTGTTCTCCCGGCCCGCAGTCCTGCCCAGGCGAGGAGGGCACGCTGGCCTAGTGCACGGCTCAGTTTGCCCGGGGACCCTGGGGTCAGGCACCCCCTGGCTCTGACTGAGGCCCGGAGCAGAGTCCCCGAGTCCGCCGCCTCTGTGGCTGGAACCACCGGGGGCCTGGAGATGATAAAGCGCTGGCTGTGGCTGCTGTTTCTCCTGCGCAGACCGTTGGTGTCCATGTTAAATTCACTCCGTGGCCAGCACCGGCTGGGCTAATCCCTCGGCCTGCGGAGGGACCCTAGGACCTCATCTTGCAAAGTCCGGGCCTTCGACAGGCAGCCCTCAGAGCGCTGTGCTGGCCACAGTTTCATATTCACTGTTTTTGTTGTTGTTTTTCCATTGCCAGGGATTGAATTCAGGGCATTGTGCTGTTTTCACCAGACCTAAAAGCACAGGGGGAAGATACCTAGATTGGGATTAGCCGGGACAAATGGAATTTCTATTTCAGGGTTTTGAGGACTCTACACACAGATTTCCGTAGTGGTTGTATAATTTACTTTCCACCCCCAACAAAGAAACCCCCGCCACTCCCACAGTAGCGCTAGTCTTCCTTATCATTTGTTGTCCTGATGGTGGCCGTCCTTTTTGTTTTTTTTCTGTTACGGGGACTCAAACGCGGGTCCTCGTGCATGCTAGGCAGGCGGCGGCACTCTGATGGCCATTCTTCCTGGAGTAACATGGATTCTCAGTTGTTTTAATTTGCATTTCTCTACTGGCCAGTGCTAAACATTTTTTTCATGTCTGTATTGGCCATTTGTACTTCTTCTGAGAAGTGCGTATTCATGTCAAATGCTCATTTTTTTTGTGAAAAACAAGGAGAAACATGCAGTATGGGGTCCAATTTTTTTTTTTTTTTTTTTTGGTGCTGGGGATCGAACTTGGGACCTTGTGCTTGCGAGGCAAGCGGTGGCACCACCGAGCTAAATCCCTGGCCCCTAATTTTTTACTACTAATAATTAAAACTTGGAAGCAGCCTATATGTCCACCAACAGACAAACAGACAAAGAAAATGCAGTCTTTATTTATGATGGAGCCCTGATCTACCATAAGGAAGGGTAAACTGGAGTCATTTGTATGAAAATGGACACACCTGGAAACCGTCACGTTACGTGAAATAAATCAGACACACAATCTTAAATGTCACATGGTTTCTTTCCTGTGAGAGACTCAAACTATAAATAAAGAGCAAAATAAAAGATAGGTAGTAGGAAGTAGGGACGGAGATCATTTTCAAATGGGAAGGGGAGCAAGAGATAGAGGGAGAGGGAAGGGAAAGCGGATGAGAAAAGAATTGAGATGTGTTATGTACAGGTCCCAACTTCCCACAAGGAAGGCGATCATTACGAACGCAGACATGTACTCATAAGAAATTAAAACCAAGAAAAAAGCACAAAGGGGGATCCCCGTACACTTCCTGATTACAGCGTATCTTTCCCTGGTGAGTTTTGAGGCACTAGGGGCGGAGCTGCTCAGGCCCCATTTACTCAGGAGAGCAGAAAGTAGAAGGAACAAGGACAGGCGGTTACTTGGAGCGAGAGTGCGAAAGGCTACCCAGGGACCCTGCTGCATATGTTTGCTCAGGGCGTCGTGCCTTTGGGAGGGACGCCTCCCAGGTCTCCTCCCCGGACTGGCACCGGGCCGGACCTCTAATAGCCCGATCCAACATGGCGTCAGTATTCATTTCCTGGAGCTGCTGTGACAAAGCACCCAAAATGGGCAGCTTAGTACACAGACGTTTCTCCCCTCCCAGTTCTGCAGGCAGAAGTTGGGAGATGAAGGAGTGGGCACCTTCGGAGGTTTGAAGTAAAATCTCTTCCATGCCTCCCTCCTCGCTTCTGCTGTTTTGCCGGCGATCCGTGCTGACTCTTGCCTCGTGGGAGGGTAACTTCACGTTTCCATGTGGTTCCGCCTCCCGCCTCACATGGCATTTTTCCTAAGTCTCTGTGTCTGTGTCCAGATGTCTTTATTTGCTATTATTCTTTTGGTAAGGACACAGTCATAGTGCATCAGGGTTGATCGTAATGACTCATCTTTAGGAATTTTATTTGCAGCTACTGTGTTTCCAACTAAAGTCGCCTAAGGAGCTCCTGGGGGTTAGGGTTTTAGAAGGTGAATTTACGGAGGACTCAATTCAACCAGCAACAGAGTCCAACCAACAACTTCCGGGAAACAGGACCGACCTGGTACTGCCAGCCCTGGCTGGCAGAGATCAGCTACAGCTGCGCTTCTTAGCGATGTCCGTGTCTCCTTACTAGAGTGTTTTTTGTTGCCTTAATGAAAGCAAAGTCCTTCAGCAGTAATAATCTGGCCTTACGTGCCAGATCCAGTCTAACCCCCCATTTCCGTCATCTTCCTGTGGCCGTAACACGTCAAACTGCCTTGCTAAAGGCCACCATCGTGTGCCCACTTCGGGAAAGAATCTCAGCCACACCAGCTCCAGGTGCCCTGGGCAGGACTTTAAACCCTGACTCCTGAGCACTCCAGAGTCAGCAAAGCCCTGGCCCACCAGCCTCATATCTGTAACTCCTGTCTTTGCCATCTCCTCAGATCTCCCGAAATGTTTCCCCAGCTCCCGCCTGCACAGATTACCTGTGTCCTGCAACTCTTTTGGGGACGAAACTCTTTCTCCCCAGCGTAGGGAGAGGTACAGCAGCAATGAAGGAAGGTGGGGTGGGTGGGGACAGCAGAGTTGATTAGAAAAGCCACCAGGCAAGGACCTGTCACCCACTTTAGGGTCCCCAGTTTAGGTATGGGAGTCACAATCCTCCCACATCAAGGCCCCCTATTCAGGGCAACTTCTGCCCTGAGACCACCCCAGGCTACCACAGTGAGGAAGGCAGGAATTGATGTAGGAATGGACTGAGTGTCGGGCACTGTGAATGCAGAACAGGGGACAGACTTGGGAAAGAGTTGTGGGAGACAAACTTGGTAGGATATAAAGGGAGACAGCGATCGGGGGTTTGTTTATGGAGATGGGAAAGCAGGGAGAACAGGTGTGAAGGAAATCTGTACTGAAAACGTTGAGTTTGAGTTTCTTTGTAGAGCCATCCAGAAAATAGTTGAATATACAGGTATGAAATGAAAAAGAAAGACATGGAAAAGAAAAGTTTAGAGAAGCAAACTCAAGAAGTAGAAATGTACTGTTATTGGGAAAATATCAGCAAAATGACCAAAACTGGGTACCATGAGCCACAATTTGGAGGAGGCATTAGAAGGTAAACGTTACTAAAAAGAGGGCCAGAGAGAAAGAAGCTAGGTAGATATAAAACTTAAGAAATCTGAGGAGGGTCTCTGTACATTCATAGGGTGAAACTGAGGTAGGACAGAAGAAGTAAAAAGTAGGTAGAAAGGAGATACAACCTTGCACTTGCAAGGTAGGCGCAGTGTACTGAGCTAAATCCCTGGCCTGAAAATCAAGATTTTAAAATTGTACTTTTTTTTTTTTTTTTTTTTTTTTTTTTTTTTTTTTGTTCTTTTTTTTTTTTTTTTTTTTTTTTTTTTTTTTTTTTTTTTTTGGTACCAGGAATTGAACTTAGGGCCTTGTGCTCTCCAGGCCGGCACAGCGTCGCTGATCTCCATCCCTGGCCTTTAAAACTGCACTTTTAAGAAAAGTTGCAGCTTCAAGATAAGCCTTTTTCTCTTCCAAGAAACTCACTAAAAAAATTAATAAAAAACCTAAAAGCTCTTCTACAATAAACCTGTAAATCTCAACACAAGATTTGTCCTATCACCTGTGAAATGTACTTCCTCCACCCCAAGCAAGCAGCAATATGGTGGGCAGCATCTCAACCTCAGGCACATACAGATGGCTCACACTGTGACCTGACAGGCAAGAAATACACAATTCTTTCTTTACTGACGCATCCTGAAAATTCTTTTTCTGCCATGGGAGTCAGAGGAGCGGCAAACTTATTTTAAAAGAGTGGGTAGAGTTCTTTCTTTCAGCCTCGGGGACTTCTCAGGCCCAGCTCGGTGATAAAACTGCATCAGATTGGGAAAGAAACAACTTTCGGGCCAGGGATTTGGCCCAATGTTTCTACCGCCTGCCTCGCAAGTGCAAGGACCAGAGTTCAATCCCTGGTACCAAAAAAAAAAAGAAAAGAAAAAAAAGAAACAACTTTCAGGAAAAGAACAGTTCCTGGGGGAGCCCTGAGGCACACAATTCAAGAGCTCATGCAGTGCCAAGAATTGTCCAAGTTCCCACCAATCAGCATGGAAAAAATTTTGCTGACTATGTGGGGAATTCTGTGGAAACCCCAGAAAGTCAGGCTTTAGAAATGGCCTTCTAGAAGGAAGGTTTCTTTCAGATTGTTCCTCATAAATCCTAATATTGCCTGGTCTAGTAGCACATGCCTGTAATTCCAGCAGGAGGCTGAGGCAGGAGGATCACTGTAAGATCAAGGCCAGCCTGGGCAACATAGTGAGTTTAAGGTCACCCTGAACTGCATAGTGAGACTCTGTCTCAAAACAAAACAAAACAAAACAAAACCAACAACAAAAGCCCAATAGCAACTCAAAAAGTAGTTAAATTGAATAATGAGTAACTTAATTATTGGGTAGAATTGTATACAAGTCTTGCCAGCAATACACAATAGAAAAATGTAAAATGCATAATGTCTAGCATCTAATCAGAAATCTCTAAATATAGAAAGAACCAGAATGAGAAATCATAACTGGGAAGAAAAAAATAACAGAAATAGTCTCAGGAACGAGAATAATGATAGTTTAGTACGCACAGACCTGATTACAGTTTTTATAAAGAATGTTGAATATCCTGAACGTTAACAGGAAAATCTGACCTTTTGTTGTGGATGTTAAGACTTGACATCGTGGGAAACATAGAGAAAGACAAAAATTGCTAGCAAGGGAAATATAATGGCGAAAATTAGGTATTACAGAAGAGAGGATCGAAAACTTGGAAAAGTAGTAACAGATACTATGCAAAATAAAACACAGAGAGGGAAGAGAAGAGCGAAAAATAGAGAGCATCAGCGCCCTTTAAAAATCATGTTAAACAGCACTGGGGATTTAACTCAGTGGTTCTGGTGCCTGCCTCGCAAGCACAAGGGCCTGTGTTCGATCTCTGGTACAAAAAAAAAAAAAAAATCACATTAAACAGCCTAAAAAACATGTAGAATGCCAGAAGCAGAAGAAAGAGCAGAAGACAAGAAATACTGCAACTAATGTCCACAAATTTTACAAATTTGAAAAAAAAATCATAAAGCTTTAAGAAGTGTAACCAATGTTAAAGAGGAGAAATACAAATTAAATCACATTTAAAAGAAAAGGGAATAAAAGAATATCTTATAAAGCTGCCAAGGTAATGGGATATTTGGGGAGGAACAAAGACAAGAAAAGTACAATCCTTTCATCAGAAATCACATGAACCAGAAAAAAACTGCTGATATTTTTAAAGCATTAGTAGAATCAAACAAAATAAAATAAAACACTGGTCCAGATAGAATTTCTAGAAAAAATATCTTTCAAAAAATGAGGACAAAAATCAAGATTTTCACACAAGCACAAACTGAGGAAATTCAGTACCAGATAAAAAATTTCTTTAGATGGAAAGAAAATTATAATAAAAGGACACAGAATAAGGTTAGTCAGAAACAGCAACCATTAGGGTTTCGATAACAGTAAGTGCTCATAATTTTAAAGAACATATGGACAGTAAATCCATAATAGAGAATAGTTAGCATAATCCATATTTATAAAAGAGCTTTCATTTATAAAGAGTACATTGATGGGTCTTTGAAACAATAATCAGGGAAAAGGAACATGGTAACTAAGTTAATCAAATCTTTAAAAGAGAGAATGTGAGGAGAGGGACAGAAGTTGAGGGTGTTCCTGTCAGAGGTCTCCCGTTTTCTGTCAACTGTGTGTTGAGGTGGCCTCCGGGTATGAGGGTGAAGATGACCACCTGCGGACTGGAGAGTTTGTGAGACTAGAAGGAGGGTCTGGGAGGAGCCCTAGAGCCAGGTAGAGGCCACACACACACACACACACACACACACACACACGGGTCTGCACAGCCTGGGGCTTTTTCTCCATGGGTTTTGCAGTGCGGCGTGTAGGGAGGGCATGAAGAGCTGGCAGCTGCGGGCACACAGGCTTGGGGGCAAGAAGAGCCAGGGACCGGCAAGCTGAGGACTCCGGCAAGAGGACGCTTTCAGGGATGAACGCTCCAGTATAAGCTGGACAGGAAAAGACAGGAAGGTCCCGGAGAACTTTTCACAGGCCGAGCAAACATGGAAGACAAACAGTGTGGAGGGAAAGAACTGGCTCACTGAAATAGTGAATCGAGAAGGGTAAAAGCACCAAAAGTGCATTGTCAGAGGGCACCTCCATGTGGCTGGATGAGGACTCACCTGCTCACTGTCCCCATCCCCAAACCCAAATAAACCACAGGAAAAGTGAAGCGAGGGAAGTGAACGTCAATCAAATGACCGAAGTCAAAGGACTATCACAGAAGTTGCCAGAAGTCTCCAGCACATCACTCCCTTCTGGGGGATGCATTTTTAGTCCTCTGTGATAGAAGAAAGTAGAATCAGGCTTGCTGAGTGTGCAGTCTAGACAGGAAGCTGCTAAGCAATGAATGAATGCACAGTAAGGTCAAATTTTGCATTCAAACTTTAAAAATCCCTGATTACTTATCTTTCTAGCTCTATTTTCCTTAGGTGGCTAAGGAATAATGAACAATGACCCTGGAATGCAATGGAATACTAGTTAGTACTGGACTTAGAATTTGGTTCAAATTTCAGGACTGCTAGGTACTAGACTGATCTTAGCAGGGACCCTAAAAGTTTTGCTCCCTTACTTGCTCTCTCTCCTCCACTTGGGGATCCCAGCGTCCTGGAGAACCAAGCCTTTCTTCAGATTTTGCTTCCAAATTACTATGTGCTGAATCACACAGACGTTAGGGCTGTGAAGAAGGATTAAACACATTTTACTGTAAAGGAATTTTGAGTGTGAGGAGCCAGACAGACATAGGCACAAATATAACACACGACAAAGATCCTACAAGTATAAATCAAGGTGTAGCAAATAAGCATTTCTAAGGAGGTTTTATGAAGAAAGGGTGCTTAGGGACTGGCTGAATTTCAGTGAAAGGGGAAGACCGAGCTGTAGGAATAGTCTAAAGAACGTGAAGGGAGGATGGGGAACCTTTTGAACTTATTGAAGAGGACAACACATCAGAGCTGGATTCATTTAACAGTTCATACTGTGCTTCTGCCTTTAGAAGCTTATTTATGGTTGAACAGGAAAAACAAATAAATAAATACATAAATCTATATGCAAAGTGGGTGGACTTCATAAAAAGAAGCAATTTAACCCAGTACTGAAGATTCTTTTGAATATGAGTCTGGTGGAACGTCTCCAACCCCCTTGTTCAAAGCACCCCGCCAAAATGCGATTGATAGAGGTCAGCAGTTAGGAGCCAGCGTCTGCCCATCTAGATGCAGTTTCAAATTATTTAGCTTCTATGCACCTCTGATAATTTTTATTTGTTTTTTGGTACCCGGGATTGAACACAGGTTCTTGTGCTTTGGAGGAAGGCGGTGGAACCACTGAGCTAAATCCCCGGTCCTGATAACTTTTAAATGAGGCTATTAGTTGGGGTGTTGCATGAAGGACGCATAGCAAGCAGAGTACTTAGGATGCGTCCTAAACAATACATACGTGGATGTGAGCAGTGTGTTTTCACCAGGCAGCGCCGAAGGCTGCGGGACACGGGCCGCATCCTCCTAACCAGCCCACCCATCGGCGGGTATTTGCGGAACCCGGGTTCAAACCAGCGTCCCTCCTCTGCAGCATCACTTGGTCTCGTCTCTAAGCAACAACAGAAAGGCGTCTGAGCCCCAGCGCGCGCACATCCGGCCGACAGGGCTTGTTTTTTAAACCCATCCGAAAGGGCCAATCACAGGCGGCCGGCCGTGAGCGCGGAAGCGGATTGGTGCATAGCTGTGTACAGTGGCCAATAGACGTCGAAGGCGAGTTTGAGCAGGACCGGAAGTGGAAAAACTGTCCCCCGGGTGGCGGCGGCGGGCGGTTTGAATCGGGATCAGGGCTACGGATCGCGGAGACTGCGCCAAAGAGGCCTGTAGGAGAGGTGGCCGGAGCCGGGCAGCAAGGTGAGCGACCCGGAGCGGCTCCGATCTGGCGGCGGGCTGGTGGGTCTGCAGTTTCAGCCCGTGATGCTCGCACCCAGTCTGTGCTCCCCGCGGATCCGGGCGAGGGTCGTGGGTCTGCGGCCTCGGGGATCGGTTTCCTCTTGCTCAGGGTGAAAGAATCTCAGGTGACCAGTTAACTCCTCCCGAGCGCCCCCAAGACCCGGAACCAGGACCCTGTGTGCAGCTGGAGCCCTCCTCGTCGCTGGGATTCGGGCCGGCGTCGGGGTCCAGTGCCTGTTGTTAGCTGGGTTTGCGTTTCCTTCCTTCCACCTTTATTTGGATGCGCCGGTGTGCCGGGCTCTGCTTGGGCGATCAAGATTCAGAAATAAATGAGCCGAGTCCTAACAGCGAGGAGCCTGGTCCAGAGAAGGTCCAGCCCAGGTCCAGCCGAGGTCCAGCCCTGGCGCCTCAGGCCCTGGGGGTTTGGGCGGCGGCTGGAGATTCTGTTCATGGGAAATGGTGAAGACGGACTGCAAAGCTGGGGACGGCGGGTGGGGCACCCAAGAGCCTCCTCGGGGACATCACAGAGCTTGGGTGACCTGGCGTGGAAGTGGGGTGTCCCCCATATACTTACGATGTAAAGGTAATTATTTTCTGGATAGGATTTGCCCTTTCGTCCCGCAAACCCTCTTGCAAGAAACTTCACACTCAGGGCTTTTCTTCATCCTTGTGCCTCCAAACCTAAACTCTGCCCCTTAAATCTTGCCTTTCAGGTTGACTTTTTTGGTTCTTTTGGTCCTAGATAGAGGTCCTAGATAGATGGCCGATACCTGATGTCTTAGCAAGTCACTGCTGTAATCACAGATGGCTTGGGTTTGTAATATTACACATTGATGTAGTATAAATATATTAATTATGTCTATCTATATTAGACTTTGAAAGAGAAAAGCATCCAATTTGCCAGTTTTTCTTCTGTTTATTTCTCTTATCTGTTGTCTTTCCAAATTGCTCCTTTTCATATTTTGCTAGTGTAGCATCTTGATGTAATGAGTTCAGTGGCCAGCTAATTGTTTAGGATAGATCCTTGGTTTTTGAGACAGGGTCTTGCTATGTAGTCCAGGCTGGCCTCAAATTTGCGGTGATCCTCCTGCCTCAGCCTCCCGAGAGCTGGGATTACAGGTGTGCACCACCAGTATGACCCAGTGTGTACTCTACTCTTGAACAAATAAGCTAAATTGCCCATTGTTACTTGAAAGGCTGGAGATTCCTTTCAGTAGTTTTTGGACGAATGGGGTAGAAGTGAAGATGTTCTCTTCTGCAAAGTTTAGTGGTGCATACCTGTTATCCCAGCTCCGCTGGAGGCTGAGGCAAGAGGCTTGCAAGTTTGAGGCCAGCCTGGGAAACTTACAAGATCTTGTCTCACAAAATTAAAAAAATGGGATGGGAATGTAGCTCAGCGGTAGCACTTGCCTAGCATGTACGAGGACCGAGATTTCATCTCTCGTACTGCAAGGGGGAAAAAAAAAGGTCTTCCAAATGCTGACATCTGGGAGAATAGTTATCCTGGCAGTGAAAACACAGCTTTCATGTCTTGATCTCTAACTTAACGTGTTGTCCAAGACCCTTGTTTCTCCTTAGGTTTTGAAAATCTTTTTATGATTCTTAGTTAAAAACAAAATTCTCGTGGCCTGGGGATTTAGCTCGGTGGTTCCACTGCCTGCCTTGCAAGTGCAAGGACCCGAGTTCAATTCCCAGTACCAAAACAAAACAAAATAAAAACAAAATTTTCATCCTGTTGCCGAAATAACTAGAAAATGACTTTCCTTTTTAGATTTTTTTCTTCTAAAGGCTAAAGTAAAGAATAATTGCCATGCTTTTCTCCTAAAGGATATAAAGTCTCCTTATATATAAGCTGTGACTGGGAAGGAGGTTGGACACTTCACTTTTTGTAGTGTAAGCTGAAATACACAGTAAAAGAAGTGTTTTCAAGAACTGATAGAATGGCTAACAAGTATAAAAAGCTCCCCAGGAGATGGCTGTTCTAGGCTTGAGAAGGTCCTTACCATTGCTGTCTTCATTTTATGATAAGGAATCCAAGACAGAGCCCTTAAATAGCTTGCCCAAGGCCGGGGATGTAGCTCAGTGGCACTGTGCCTGCCTGGTAAGCGCAAGGTCCTGAGTTCGATCCCCATACTGCACAAAGAAAAACAAAACTTGCCCAAGGTCACACATCTTTGAAGCGGCGGCGGCGGCACTTGAACACCCCTCAGTCCCTAAATTTGTGTGCTTCTTTCCACTTTGACCCGAGCATGACTTCATTTTTTGGAACAATCCTAGTTACCAGGCACATTCGTTCTTGGTTAACTCACACACTCCTTGGAAGGCGACGGGCTCCATGTGTGTGAGAAGCCAACAGAGAACTGGCCAGGTGGGTGTCTCAGGAAGGGTTCCCGAAGAGCAGGCACGAAGTTGATGGTAATTAATGATGTGAAGATGGATACAAGAGCATTTGCAGAATAATTATGTGTCAGGTATTTGAAGTGTGTACAGCCAGGATCTTGGTCACCTGAAGTGAAGTATTCATGTTTTGTGTAATGAAAACAAACTGTGCAGAAGAAAGCAGGTGACTATAATGAATTAAAACTTGAGAGGTGAGGAACCCCCAGAATAAGGGTGTTCAAGCAAACAGTATGTACTTTATAATGAATCATTGGCAGCCGCCTTTCAGAGCATGCAGAAGACAGATATTATCTTTGAAATGTGATATTTTTCATACTCGACTCTTGGAGGTAGTTAGACCCATTAGTCTCCGGCTTTAAATTTTCTTTTTTTTTTGAAACAGGGTCTTGCTATGTAGTTCAGGCTGCCTTGAACACACTATGTAGCCCGGGCTGTGCTTGAACTCCAGTCGATCCTCCTGCCTCAGCCTCCTGAGTGCTGGGATGACAGGCGTGCGCCACCACGCCCGGCTTACACTTCCATTTAACTATGTGAAGCTGAACAGTCTGGTTGTTCTTTTCAGTTCACTTCTAAATGTTGGACTAATAAAGGAGGTGAACAGAATGAGCTGGGCTTTGGAAGAATGGAAGGAAGGCCTCCCTACCAGAGCGCTGCAGAAAATTCAGGAGCTGGAGGGACAGCTGGACAAACTCAAGAAAGAAAAGCAACAGAGGCAGTTTCAGCTCGACACGCTGGAGGCCGCCCTGCAGAAACAGAAGCAGAAGGTACTGCCCTGCCCGGCTCTTGGGTTTGAATGGGTTCCCCTGTTTGGGGGTGTTTTATTTCATCTTCTTTAAATTTAGAGAAGAGTGATTTTCTATCTTCTATCACCCCCTTTAGATAGTTTTAGTTTCTCTGAGTTTTCCATCTCTGTCCTCATTTCTGCCTGCCTGCCGGTATTCAGGGGCCTTGGGGTCCTTTTGAGTTCCAGTGGGGACCCTGAATTGGGACTCATTTTCTCCCTGCACAGCAGCAAGCCCCCGTCCCTGCTTCCTCTCTGGGGACAGCGTTAGAGCTTTTCACAGTTTGAATGGAGGCAGCTTTCTCAGAGGGCTTTTTAACCTTGGTGTCCCCCCCGCCCCCGCCTTCTCTTTAGGTCCGGTGAATCAAAACTTCAACTTGAGGGCCGGGGGTTTAGCCCAGGTTCCAGAGCTGGGACAGCGTTAGAGCTTTTCACAGTTTGAATGGAGGCAGCTTTCTCAGAGGGCTTTTTAACCTTGGTGTCCCCCCCGCCCCCGCCTTCTCTTTAGGTCCTGTGAATCAAAACTTCAACTTCAGGGCCGGGGATTTAGCCCAGTGGTTCCAGAGCCTCCCTCACAAGCACAAGGGCCCGAGTTTGATCCCCAGTACCAAAAAAAAAAAATCAAAACTTTAACTTCAACCTACTCTTTTTTTTTTTTTAAACCTCTGTGTTAGGCAGCAAAGTAGTGGGTTGGTCAGTGCTTCTAAAATGTCTTTGCTTGTGGAAGAATTTTCTGATTTCTTAACCATAACTGACTGGCTTTAGCAGCCAATCGTGAAAATGATTTGTTAAGTGAGAGGAGTTGGTTTTGATTGCTTTTAATTCTCAAAGGGATTTAAAACCTGCATTTCTAGGAAGGCCAGGTGTAGCCCTGACCAGGGCAATGTTGTAATGTGCGGCTTTGTAGAGCTGTTTTTGGTCTGTAGGCTTCACACTGGGGTTCTGTGTTCCGGAAGCATTGCCATCCCTTGCTACTACCGCGTCTTAGGAAATTAGTGGCCATTGTCAGGCTGTAACCTACATAGAGTTCTTGGGACGATCACGGAATAAAGGTTCTAGTTCCTTCTCAATGAATCCTCCTAGGTTGAAACAGAAAAAACTGAAGGCACCAACCTGAAGAGGGAAAACCAAAGATTGATGGAAATATGTGAAAATTTGGAGAAAACCAAGCAGAAGATTTCCCATGAACTTCAAGTCAAGGAGTCACAAGTGAATTTCCAGGAGGGACAGCTAAACTCAGGCAAAAAACAAATAGAAAAGCTGGAGCAGGAGCTTAAAAGGTAATTATTTGAGTGGCATTTATATGGATGCTATTTGTACATTTTCAACACATATTCAAGATGTATTTTGTACATATTCAAGGTGTATTTATTATTTTGTTTAATGTAGCAATCATATATTACAGTATTTCTTCCTCCAGTGGAATAAACAGATTCAGCTCTGTCATTACATAAACACCTCATATGGTTGCTTGATTTCATTCATTTATTCATTTAGTATACGTTTATATTTTTTTTTGGTTTTTTTGAGGCAAAGTTTCACTATGTCATTCAGGCTGGCTTCAAACTCTGTTATCCTCCTGCCTCAGCCTCCCTAGTGCTGGGATTATTGGATGTGCTACTATGCGCAGCCCTTTTTCTCTATTAGAACATGCCTGTAGTACATGATTATGTTCTGTGTGGGGAGCTGCTCCATGTACGTAACACATCTTCATCCCTTTTCATCTCCTCTCCCTCCTTTCCTCCCTCCTTCCATCTCTTGATCCCTGTCCCTTCGAGGACCATCCATTTCCCTCCTTCCCATGACCTATCTTTTATTCCGCTCTTTGTTCATACTTTGGGTTTCTCGTCTAAAGAAACCACGTGATATTTAAGTTTGTATGTCTGATTTATTTCATTTAATGTTAGGGTCTCAAGGTGCAGCTACTTACCCATGAATGCTTCAGGCTCACCCTTCTTTGTGGTACAGTAGTACCCCATCGTGTGTCACTGCCACATTTTCTGTATCCATCCATCTGCTGAAGGACCTATCAAGGCTCTCCCAGGATCTCACTGTTGTGAGTTTTCTGCTATAAACTGGGGTGAAGTGGATGACTGTATTATGATGTCTCTAGCTCTTGCAGGAAGACACCTGGAAGAGGAGACCCTAGCTGGGTCAAGTAGAGTTGCTAGTTTCAGTTCTTCTGTGAAAGCTGCACACTGGCTTCCCTAGTAGTTCTCTGTTGACTGAGCTGCTCCAGCGGTCAGGTGCAGTCTTGGTCCCAGGCGATACCAAGGTAAGGGACGCTGAAGTTGTCCACAGTGGGCGCCTAAAAGGCAGCAGGAGGCAAAAGCGCGGCTTACCCCGAGGGCTCTGGGGTGGGACAGCTGCCGCTGGAGACCTGGAGTGTTCAGTGGGGCTGCCCCGGGGCTGTGTGCACTTGTGTTTTGTGGGCTGGGAGTGCGAGGCAGTGAACGGCTGGGTTGTGGAGGGCTTGGGGCCAGGACAGTGGCACGGAATCGCAGGGGCCATTGGGGATGCTGGAGGAGACCGGCTGGTCGCTACCATGGATTCCAGGCTGGGTGGGGAGGGGAGTGAGATCCCAGGATCTTTCCCCTGAGACCTGTGTCTCCCAGACTCTTCTTCAACATCGAACATTATGAAATCAGTTTGCCTATTTCTTTGCCGTGACTGGGCAATAAAAAAGTTGTTTATTCCACCTTTTTATTTTTAAAAAGCCCATTAGATGTGTTAATAAAAATAAGATTAATGGAGTCTAATGATATTTTGCTAGTTTAGAAATGGTATTTTCTTATTCTAATGGTAGGATTTTGTCAAAATTCTAGCTAAAAGGACTTTAATAACTTATCCCACTGTGGTGTGCACAAATATCTAGAAAATTTAAAAAAACAGCAACTTTATTTTGAAATGACTTTAGGTTGGCAGAGAAGTTCCAAAAGTAGTGGAGTTCTTGCATCTGTCCTTTGCCCAGACTTTCTAGTTGTTCACAGCTACACAACCAAAGCACAGTTTCCAAGCCAAGGAAAATGCGATTCTGTTAACTAGACATTATTAGAATTTCTCTGGTTTTCCAGTAAATCCTTTCCTGGCTGGATTCTGATCCAGGATCCCGCATCACATTTAGTTTAAGGTTTTCTTAACCTCTTCTAAAGCCGGGATGGTGCCTTCTCTTTTGTCCCCCTGACATTTCCGGAAAGCACTGGCTGGTTGTTTGGAAGGCGGCCTCTGCTGGGGTTTCACTGGGGAGTTTTTCTCAGTCGCAGCTCAGCTGACATTTGGGCCTGCATGGCCTGGAGGTACAGGGGGCCCACGTGTGCGGTCGGATCTCTGACATTTTTTGGGTGGAAGCCACCAGACTCCAGTGGTGTCCTATGCCATTCCTGAGTCTTGACAGTCAGGAGTCCCGGACCTTGGGGGGCCCTCTCTGATTGAAAACCCCTGAGTCAGACCCAGGCCACCCTACTGGGTCATTTGTACTAAGACCGGTGCAGGGTGGGTTTCTACCTTGGTGCTGCCTCATCCCACAGGGGACAAGGGGACATGACTTAATGACCTACGACCTTGGTCACTTGGGTAAGTTCCCTCTGCAGTGAAGCTCTGGACACCTCCTCTGTAAAGTGGCTGTTTTTCCCTTTGAAATTAATATACGTATGTATATATATATATTTATTTATTTATTTATTTATTTATTTATTTATTTATTTATTTATTTATTTATTTATTTATTTATTTATTTATTTATTTATTTATTTATTTATTTATTTATTTATTTATTTATTTATTTATTTATTTATTTATTTATTTATTTATTTATTTATTTATTTATTTATTTATTTATTTATTTATTTATTTATTTATTTATTTATTTATTTATTTATTTATTTATTTATTTATTTATTTATTTATTTATTTATTTATTTATTTATTTATTTATTTATTTATTTATTTATTTATTTATTTATTTATTTATTTATTTATTTATTTATTTATTTATTTATTTATTTATTTATTTATTTTGGTTCCGGGGATCAAACTCAGGACCTTGCTCTTGCGAGGTAGGTGGCGGCATCACTGAGCTTCACCCCCAGCCCTGAAATTAAAAATATCTCGATAGCAAGAAATTTAATTTTTTGTGGCACTGCTATAATAATGTGAAATCTACCTGCAGAATCAAAAATATTTTGCAAAGTTAAAACATTTAAAAAGTCACTATATATTTAGTGTTAGTATGCTTGCATTTGATAAGGTAATTGTTTTTCATGCCTTTCTCCAGTCCCTCCCTATCCACCCCAACTCTTGCTCCCCTTCTCATTTGAAAAAGTTCTTCCTATTTCTTGTTGTCGCTCTTTGCTTTGCTCTTTATTTGTACTTTGGGTTTCTCATATGAGAGAAATCATACAGTATTTCAGCTTGTGGGTCTGATCTCACTTAACCTGATGGTCTGAAGATGATAAATGACTCACGTGTATCCTTCTTTATGGCAGAGTAGTACTCCACTGAGTGTTTTTCTGTGAAAATGATTATTTTCCTGTGCAGAAATCTTTTTCTGTGATTTTTACTTTTGTGTCCAGTCTGTGGAGGAGGGTGGTTATCTGAAAGCTGCATGTTAGAGTGATAACCTCCTGTCTCATTGAGTTTTTCCTGTCATCCCACATACTGTGACAGCAGGGACCCTGTCCGTCCTAATCCTGCACCCATAGCATCTGACAGCTGTAGCCCTTCGCATTTTTGTTGAGTGCAGGGAAGATAGATCTTAGTTTTGGAAAACAGGTGCTAGGAAGTAGGAGGCACACCTCAGTATGTGGCATGATTGTTTCTCTGGAAAACACATTTGGGTGCTGTTTCTAGAAATATTTGTTTTAATTTTGGGCAGAAATGGGTATATTTTTAGAGAAAGATGCATTTGTATACTTTTCTATATTTCCTCTTATATTCATTTCTCTTTTTAAAATTTCTTTGAGACATGGTTTGGATAGTTAAGGCTGGCCTCAAACTCACTGTGTTTATGGTCCAGGCTGGCCTCAAACACACTGCGATCCTCCTGCCTCAGCCTCCCAAGTTGGGGTTATAGGCATGCGCCACCATGCCCATGCCTAGCTTTTTACATTTCTGTATTTCACTGCAGAATGACATATAGTAGCATTACCCGCAGCTGTAAAGTCCTCATGACTTCAAGACTAAGGTAGCAACTGTGAAATATTGGCATTGTTATTATCATTATTATTACCATTAAATACAGCATTATTACTATCAATGTTATTAGTCATCAGTGTCATCATTATGGGATTCAGACACTCCTGTGGCATATTTGATTTAAAAATGTTCTTCAGGGCCGGGACTGTCACTCAGCAGTACAGTGTCAGCCTGGCAAGCGCAACTCCCTGAATTCGATTCCCCCAGTACCAGAAAAAAAGAAATTCTTATTGCTGGGCATGGTGTCATGCACCTGTTGTCCTGGCTACTGAGGGTACAGAGGATACACAAAGATGTCTCAAAAATAAAAAAAGTCTTGTTAGTTATATGGTTATCAATGTTTATAAACGGGTACAAGCTGTGTATATAAAACCTTGAGCATAGAGTTCTAGATTATAAAAACTGGAGCGTACACAAAGTATAAACTATGAGAAACTTTTGAGTATAGTTTCCAGCTTACCCCTGGCCACCTTCAAGGGCAGTGAGGAATTTGCTGCTCCCTGGTGGCCACGGTCAGGTTTCCGGAAGGTCTGCAGGAGTCCGGTTCAGCCCTGTGGAATATTTTTATTTGTCAGAACCGTTAACGTTGGCAGTGTCATCCAGCTCAACCCAGTGGAAAACTCAGTTCTCTTTTGGTGGTGGTGGTTTTTATTATTCTGCCTACAGGGAAGGAGAAACCAAAAGTTTATGAAAATAAATAGCAGGTTGTACTTCACTTAATATTTAAGGTAATTTTTTTTTCTTCTTTTATACTTGCAAGGTCAGGGGAAAAGGAGGCTAGGTGTGAATCAGAGAGGGAAAAGAAACCCTGGTTTTGCAGGGCCCTTCAAAATTCATCTCTGGAATCTCTGGATGGTTGCCACACCGCAAAACACATGAAGGGCTTTGTGCCTGTGCTGTTTCTTTAGAAAATAGATGTGTCTGCTGAAACTTTGGGAAGTTGTGGACTCAGAATTTTATCTTTAAGATTCTTAGGAATTTCCTGGAGGAAAGCAGGCCAGGGCATATCCCTGGGTCACTCTAAGCACTCTTACCTCCCTCGTCTCCTTTCTACCTCTCAGGGCGACCTTCTTAAACCTTTGCTAGGCTGCGGGCTGCGGACCTGCTCGATACTGCGGCCCCTGGGTGCATCCGGTTTTCTCCAGCTTTTGAAATGTGGCTGCTGCCCATCGGGACAGATGAGCTGTAGCTAATCCGGTGCACCCCAGATTCTGAACATCTGGTACCAAAAAACGTGAAATGTCTCATTGATAATTTTCCCCAGGATTGCAAGTCCAAGTGATAGCAGCTTTACTTTGAAGACAACAAGTTCAATGAAATATGAAAGTTAGTTTCACTTGTATTCTGTTGCTTTTAAAAATGCTAATAGAAGACTTCTGTTGTGCAGTGCTTGACCCATGTAAGCTTAATCGGATGCTTTAATTTCCTGACCTGTCTCTAGTCTCAGTTCCTACAGCGCCCCTTCCTCCCCGGATTGAATTTGGAGCTTGGAAATTGAGCTCTTCCTTCCCAGTTATTTTTCGTTTTGAATAATGTGCGCAGGGCTGGCCAGGGATTTAGCTCAGTGGTTCCACTGCCTACCTTGCAAGCCCAAGGACCCTAGCTGGATCCCAGGCACCCCCAGCCCCCAAAAAATGCCCAGGGCAAGAGAATGGACCTATTAGTCCTTGGCTCAGCTGTGTGCTCCTCTTGTTTCTTTTGTTAGGCAAAATCAAAGCAACCTAGACTGGCAAGAATTGACGTTTCTTTAACGTAAGAATGGAACCTTAAAAAAGAATGGAACCTTAGCAGGCTGTGCTGATGCTGACCTGTAAATTCCCCTACTTGGCAGGCTGAGGAAGGAGGATCACTCCAAATTCTAGGCCAGCCTAGGATGGGTAGCAAGACCCTGTCTCACAAAACCAGCCAGACAAACAACCCCACCCCCTGAAACGAACAGACCCCTCTTTTAATGGGTTATTTGGTTCTGAAAGGCATTCAGAATTTCCCTGAATGATGGGGATTCTCTCTCTATACAACCTGTAACTCACTTTCCCCATCTCTTTGTAACTGTTTTCAGCTGTATCTTTTCTGGATGCATTATATTTAATTTTTGTATCTGCTTTTAAAGTGCCGTATAATGCATACTCTACATCGAGTCTGTTTTTGAAATGGTTACGCGTCATGGGTAATGTCACCATTCACTGACGTCCCTCTCCCTCCATGTTTCTCTGGGTTCCTTCAAACCCCTGTGTTTTCCTTGGGCTCAGAGTGTAAAATCGGCCTGGAGGTCATCCTGAGCCTTCCCACTCCTTAGCTGCTACCATGGTTACTGCAGATCTTCCTTACAGCCATTTAATAGCATCGCAAATAGAGTCATCATATTTCTCAAACTAGACTTGGACCTTTTAAAGAGCTGGTTCTTTTTAGTACCTGTGGGGTAGTTGGGATGGCTGAGGGTTCTGTTTTTGCCGTACCCAGGGATTGAACTCAGGACCTTGCGTTTGCGAGGCAGGCATGGTGCCACTGAGCTACATCCCCGGCCCATCCGGGTCCTTTTCTAACAGGTGTAAAACTGACCTGGAAAGGAGCCAGCAGGCCGCGCAGTCTGGGGACGCCTCTCTCAGCACACCGCAGAGGACCTTCGCCACTCCGCTCACCCCAAGTCAACTTTACAGCGGTAAAGATTGCTCCCCCTCTGGGGGAGAAGCAGTTCTTTAGCTGGGAAGTCAGTTCTTGACTTTGAATTCAGCCTTTAATTTGGATATTTAGAAAAGTGCATCTGGCTGCTGTGTATGTTTCCATGTATTTCGGTGTTTGAGTAATTTGATGGAAGCACTGTGTCTTTCTTAGTGCAGGGCACTTGTGACCTCTGAGCTGTTCGCCCAAATCACTGGGTGAAATCAAACCGTATTTCCTTGTCTGTGTTAGGTTCCAAGTATGAAGACCTCAAAGAAAAATATAACAAAGAAATCGAGGAACGAAACAGATTGGAAGCAGAAGTGAGAGCCCTGCAGGCCAAAGTGAGTTGATGGCGGCTGGAAGCAGAGCGCACAGTTAGAGCGTGGGGAAGGGCTCTGCGGTGGGAGAGCCGAAGGTGGCGCAGAATCCCTTACACGGAGCCGAGAAGTGTTTCGAAGACTGAGAGAAACCTTGCAGACCCTGGGGTGATTTCTTCTTAGTGTTTTTGTCAGCATGCTGTTCAGGCCGGCCTTGAACTTGCCATATTCCTCCCGCCTCAGCCTCCCAAGTGGTGGGATCACCGGCGGGCACCACCGTGCCTGGCATGTTTAGGTTTTAAAACTAGGTGGGAGTGAGGAAAATGGAGTGTGGAGGTTAGTTTATCTCCAGATACTGAATTCTCACGAATTCCAGGGGACCAGAGCTATAGAGTTCCCTGGTAAGATCCAGGGATGAGGAAGGAGTGAGTCTGGGGGTGATTCCCGATGCCCACAGGCAGATTTGTCACCTGGAGACAACTTTTGCTGTCCAGTCTTCTGGTGGAACGAGGGACGAGGCACTTGAGTCTCTTTATTAATGAAATGCTGGTTTCAGAGGAGAACGTCATCAGCACGATCTCCTCAGTTCTTTTAAATAAGCTGCTGGTTCACTTGGGAGGCTGAGGCAGGAGGATCAGAGTGTGTTTAAGGCCAGCCTGAACTGCATAGCAAGACCTCACCTCAACAACAGCAACAACAAAAAGCTGCTGGCCATAGTTTGACGCTCCGCTTTGATAGTGGAGAGAGGTGAGTGAAGGGACGTAATGTCGATAACATTTTAAAATGCAGATTTCTAATTCCCATTACCTAGTCCACTTCTGCCAGTCCTGTGCACAGTCCCACTTCTTCAAAAAAAAAAAAATCTCAGTTTGGCATTTACTAGGATTTTTCTGCTACACATAGAAACTGGGTGAGAGGCATGATTCAGCCAGGAGCTTCAGGTTGAATTTGTAAGTGGGGACTCTTGAGTACTGCGGCGCCACTTGTAGCCAATTCTGCCCTTGATGTAGATTCCCAGAGCGTTTTTTCTTTTTTGCCAGGCTAAGGTTCGAACTCAGGACCTTGCACTTGCAAGGCAGGCGGCGGTGCCCCTGAGCTAAATTCCTAACCCTCTTTTTCGTTCTTTTATGGAGAATGTGAGTCTCCTCCACATTCACCCTCATCCCACAGCAAGAACAGCGCTTACTATAAAGAGTGTGGGGCAGCGGCTCCAGTTGTGTTTGCTGTTTGTCAGAAAGAACGGAGGAGGAACAGTTCAGAAGCAGCGAGCGCCATTGTGGACTGGGAGACACCTGCAGTGGCATTTTTTGGGGAGGTGTGCGGAAGAAAGCGAGTCTGAAAAGATTGCTTGAGCTAAAATTTAATTTTGATTCTCCGTGCAAAGCTCTGGGGGGTGTGTGACCAAGGACAGGCAAAGGACGGCCAGGTTGGGATTGAAAGTGTCAGTGACTGCTCACCCGTGTCTGGCGGAGAGGGTGAGGCATGCCGAGTAAAGAGGGGCCGGCCCCTCAGCGCCGGCAAGTCTGGCCATGGCTGGCCCTGGGCCTTCGTGGTTCCCTGGACTTGACGAATGTTCTTTCTTGGTATGTGGTCCTGGCTTTATGTTTTATTTGAAAATAAATAGCATTGGGTGTTGAGACTCCAGGGCTCTGAAGGGTTTCTGTTTTTCCAGAGAGGCAGCCAGGCAGTGCCGCAGACCAGCATGAATCACCGCGACATTGCCCGGCACCAGGCCTCCTCGTCTGTGTTCTCCTGGCAACAGGAGAGGACCCCAAATCGACTTTCTTCTCATCCTCAAAAAACCCCAAGTAGGAGGGATTTCTCCGCATCTCACATTTTTGGAGAGGAAGAGGTGACTCCGAGTAGATCAGTTTTGCAAACAGGGCACAGAGATGCTAATAGCAGTTGGCACAACAGTTCCTGTGGTTCTCCTCTTTTGGGTCAATTGAAAAGCCAGAATCAAGGTAACTTCTGGAGCGAAATTAAGTTTAAATTAAGTGTTCCCAGGATCACTTCAGAGTCACTTACAGGGGGGTGTTCATCTTGGAGCTCACGTATGCATTTTGTTCGATGTGGCAGTAAGTAGCTTGTGTCCCACTGCCACGCCATCCAGGTGGCCGCAACCCTGTAACCTCAACCACAGCACCGCGGCCAACAGCCAGGCACGCCAGCTGGCTCTGGAATCTGCTCTAGAATTTGGCATGATATATTGAAATGATATATTGAAAATCATCACCGGCTTCCATTGGAACCAAGGTCAAGTGTATGTAGGAAAAAAGGTGGGAAGGCCAGGAATTTAGCTCAGCAGTTTGGTGGCCTGCCTTGCGAGCGCAAGGACCCGAGTTTGATCTCCAGTGCCAAAAAAGAAAAGAAAGAAAAAAGGTGGGAAAAAAGATCACTGTTAATTTTGGCAGGATGCTCCGAGGTTCATCCTGTTTTGATCTTTACTCACGATAAAACTAGTAAATTCAGAGGGTGAACTTTTCACTGCCTGCCACTCATCTGCATCGATATGGGCACAGATAAATATGGAGTGTGATTGAAATATATGCTGCATGTTTAAATTAACAATAAACCGTCACACTCAACGACGCGTGGCTGTTCCTCCCTCACTTCAGACACACTCATCCCTTCTCTCTGGCCACTTTCCAAAGCAGTTCTGGAGCCCTCTTTCCCACGTGTCTTTATGAGGTGTGATTAAAAATTCGGCGGCTGGGGATGTAGCTCAGTGGTGCCACCGCCTGCCTTGCAAGTGTGAGGTCCTGAGTTCGACCCTCAGTACCAAAAAAAAACATTCAGCAAATGCTGCACTGCGTGCCGTCCCACACAGAGGCAGCTCATGAAATAGTGTCCTTGTGTCCTCGTACCCTTTGGTCACCAGACCTGGCCCCGCTCCTTCCCAGAGTCACAATGACCATGAAAGGTCAACGTTTTCAGTGGACTCAGGACACTGGGGCAGCAACTGAAAGAGGACTTCCAGTACTGCTTCAGAAAGCTGCAGAGGTAGTGGGGTAACTGTGTTCAGAGCAAACAGGAAGTATTTTGAGGGGGATAAACGACAGGATGTCTTTTGCTGTAAGAAAATTTAAAAAGGGACACATTCACCGTATTTCTTGATCTCACATTGTATTAGTTTGCTAGAGTATAAAACAAATGGTTACTTTAACCAAAGTTATGATATCAGATGTACTTTTGGCAGCCTCTGTAAGATACCTGTTTGTGATTTTAGAAAAGCGTGTCCTCCCCAGGTTTTTCTGTGAAAACCTAAAAGAATCTATTTCTCTGCTTTCTATGGAGTATTTTACTACAAATGACAAATAGACCACTGAACTGAATTCATTTAGTTTCTTTGTTATAGCAAATCATTTAGATCTGTCTCACTGAAGATTGCAGAGTAGAGTAAAATAAAAGATAAATTCTGGACATTTTATAAAAAAATATAGGAACCGGAGTGTGGTTTTTGTTTGTGATTTAAGAGCTGAGAAGCAAGGTTAATGAGCTGGAACTGCGTCTGCAAGGACAAGAAAAAGAAATGAAAAGTCAAGCGCATAGATTTCAAGAGCTGCAGCTCCAGCTGGAGAAGACAAAAGCGGAATTAATTGAAAAAGACAAAGTTTTGAACAAAAACAGGGATGAACTAGTGAAAACGTCTGCACAGCATGACCAGGCAGCAACCAAGGTACTTGACTTTTCATGAATTCCTGAGAAATCTTCTTCTCACACTTTTCTTTGCAAACAGTATTTTGGACTTCAGTTTGTAGAATGAATGTGAGCGATGATCTTTGGCCGTGTTCTGTGTGAGCGCTCAGCCCACAGTCCAGGTTCTTAGCACGAGGGAGGGAGCTTAAAGAGAGAGTTAGGATGTGTGATTGAATTTAATCCATCCAGTGGTGGGACCGGTAAATATATTCCTTTAGATCGGCTAATTTTGAGTTGAATTTCTGCCCATCCAGGACTCCCTATGTGTGGGTGACATTTTACTCCTTCACATTGCACCTTACTGGTTTGAATCAACAAATCTTTGTTCTGGCTAACGTATTTGCTGATTTTTTGTTTGTTTGTTTGTTTGTTTTCTTTTGTGTTTTGTACCGGGGATCGAACTCAGGACCTTATGCTTGCGAAGCAGGTGGTGGAACCACTGAACTAAATCCCCGGCTTTGCTGATTTTTTTTAAAAAAAAATCAGACTGTGTATTAAGAGTTGTGCCTAGGGGGTACTGACAACACAACTCTGGCTTTTCCTTAGGGGTCCCTCCAGGTTCTGAAGATCCATTCGTGCAGTCCTTCCTGGGTTTTGTCTAATAAGCTACTTATCTCCTTAACTGGAAATTCGTTCCACCTTTCCCCTTCTTGTCCCCCATAGGAGTTTGTCAGTGTGTTTTGCCGACATCCGATCGTGCTGTGTTGATGCCATTCCCTGCCCTGCACGTCAGACAGGAGTCAGGGGAGTAGAGTTCGTGAGCGGATGCACGCTGTGGGTAGCACAGGACTTTCCCAGGTCTGCCAGCTGTTTGGAGGATGCTTGAATTCATGTCGAAAGAGTGTTGGGCTGGCTGCAGGCCTGGAGTGCAGCACATTTCACCGGTGAAAAACTCAGACCCAGACATTTCCGTGAGGGCCCAGGGTCACACGTTTCATATGGACTTGAGCGCTGGATGCTTTTTAGAATACTGTGGCATGTTTGTGACACCTAGTGGTCGGCTGCTTTTATGTGGTCCACGCATCGTGCCTGACAGAATGTCATTAAACAGGTTTTTTTTGGTACTGGGGATTGAACTCCGGGCCTTGAGCATGCGAGGCGGGCGGTGGCACCACTGAGCTAAACCCCTGGCCTGTCATTAAAATTAAAAAAAATAAAATATTGGTACTTTTAGAAAGGATCTTGTAAAAGCTATGTTTAGTGGAAAAGGACATTGATTCTGAGATAGGTGAGTGGGGGGCGCTGCCGTTTGAGGGAGTGCCAGTAGGGGGTGCCAAGGGCACACATCTAGTTTGCTGCAGGTGGTTTTTAAAATATTTTCCGCCGAGATTTGTCAACCATAATGATTTTGGACTGTTATTTGGACCAGTCTTGTCTGTATTGCTTACTGCCGTTTCCTCAGTACCTGGAACAATGCACGACACCGAATAGCTGCTCAGGAGGTATCTATTGGATTCATATTTTATTGTTGTTATAATCCCGATAGTATTTTTCCTTGGAGATTTAAAAACTCCAGGACAACAAGGATGAAAACAAAGCTATCTTACAGGGAGTGGATCAGTTTGAACCACTGGCTCAAACTCTTACAGTTTAAACTTTCCGGTTCAAAAGTTCTGACGTGTGCATAATCATTCCATCATTCTTGACCAGCTTTAAGGATTTGGGCCCAAGGGAATGCACGCTACACAGGAATGGGTTTTGCTACTCAATGAATCAAGGCCATTTAGTTCTAATCTAATTCTCAAAGAGCTTCCTACATTTTCAAAAATGCTTAGTGGATAACTGGCCCTGTAAGAAGGCCATGGGTTGTTTTTTGTGTTGCGTCTGGGTGCTTGATGAAAGATCAGGTGTGGTATCCCGGGGAGTTGGAACCTCCAGAAATATGAAGTACAGAGAAAAGGAAGCATTTCTTCACTGAAAATTTCTTACAAAATTCATTTCACTTGAAAAAATTACAAGAGAGAAACAGGCGCCCTCTGATTATGTTGTAGCACCTACATTTTTTTTCCAGGACCAGGAGTTGAACCTAGGACCTTGCGCTTGCCAGGCAGGCAGGGCACCTCTGAGGCACATTCCTGGCCTGCAACTCGTACATCACTAAGCTAGCACCACTGCCTTTGGACTCCCCTTTTCGTGCAACAGCGACAGAAAAAGCAGACTTGCTGCCTCAGGTTCCGCAGCAGATTGTGAAGAATTTAATTAAATGAGCTAATGCTTTATATCCCCATGACTATTTCCCCAAAGATCAGATTTATTTGTTCTGAAATAAATGTAGTGGTTTTTGTGTTCAGCAGACAGTTTCAAATGCAGCGTTTTATGAAAACGAAAAGATCAAAACACCTGTAATCTTACAGCAGATCTTGGAACTAAGATATTTCCTAAAACACAGACGGTGCCTTTTTCCTGGAATCATGTTGGCCTGGTGTGGAATGTTTTTATCTGCCCTTAGTGTACTGCGCTCGAACAAAAGCTGAAAAAGTTGACGGAGGACATGAGCTGCCAACGACAAAACGCGGAAAGCGCCAGATGTTCCCTGGAGCAGAGGGTCAAGGAGAAAGAAAAGGAGCTTCAGGAGGTACCGGAAGTGGAGTGGGGAGGGCGGATCCCCGGGGCTCTGGAGAACTGTGGTGTTGGAACGCTTGCCGATGTGGAGGGGAGCTGTCTGTTTATAATTTGGGAAGCTTTGGTGGGTGGGAAGGATGCCTCTGTGCCCACACCTGGTGTGGTGCTGGTCCAGCTTTGGGTTTTTAACCAGACGGGCGAATCAGTGCTCACTGATTTTCTTTCCCTGTTCTGTGATGTGCTGGAGAGTCCGTCCTGGGATCGAGAGGCTCCCCTTCTCACACCCTCGGAGCAGGAGGGCTGCGATCATACCTCTGTTGGCTGCAAAGCCCACAGCTGGAGAGGAGCCAGAGAGGCTGCTGTCCCCACGGGGCAGGAGTGGGCGGGGGTGCTGTCCCACGGGCCTCAGCCTGAGGGTGTGCCCGTGAGGGTCCAGGCCCTGCACAGAGGGACCAGGACCTCTGGTGTCCCCATGCGGTGACCCACGTTCACGAGGGCCTTGACCTCCCACCCTGAGCGGGAGAGGCAGCTGCCACCTCTTGTGTGGACCAGTTCTGGGTGCCTGTGGTCTCCATGGCAGCTGGCTGGGGACCAGGACCAGGGAGGGGATGGACGGGAGGCTGGGCTGAGGAAGCTGGGCCGGGTCCCCCTGGGCAGCCGCAGACTGCAGAGCCCCGCATGTGAGCCCAGCTCCTGCCCTCCGTTCTAGGAGCTCTCCCGACAGCAGCGGGCCTTCCAGACGCTGGACCAGGAGAGCACGCAGATGAAAGCCAGGCTCACCCAGGAGCTGCAGCAGGCCAAAAACACACTCCGCGGCCTGGAGGCCGAGCTGGATAAAGTAAGCGCTGGCGGTGGCTCCTTCCTTGGTCCCTCCTGGTCCTCGAGTGTGCTTCTCTCCCACAGATGTGAGGAGAGTGTTTTAAAAAACAGATACAGGGAGGGGGGCTTAGCTCAGTGGTTCCGCCACTTGCCTTGCAAGCGCACGGTCCCAATTTCAATCCCCGGTACGAAAAGAATAAAAAACCATACATAAAAGCATAAAAGTCACAACCCTAATGGAGTTTCATGTCATGTTCCGCACTTGCATCTATTGTGTAACGTTTAAATCAGGTGAAGCAGGGCGGGGTGAGGTGGCGCACACGTGTAAACACAGCACTTGGGAGGCTGAGGCGGGAGGATTGTTCCAATTTTGAGGCCAGCCTGGACTGCAGAGCGAGAGCCTGCAGCGTTTTGAAATGTGCAGCGCATTGTTGTTCCTGATGGCCGCCCTGTGTGCAATAGCTCACCAGAACTTCCTGCTGCTCTCTGACTGTAACTAGGCTGCCATCCAGCGCCCCTTCCCCGTCCCATTCTCCCGAGAGCCTCCCTACTCACAGCTTCCGCAAGACCCACTGGTTTGGACCTCATCTATCAGTCACGATTCTGTTGAGGAAAAAGTGTCTTCTCACTTCCCTCCCTCACCCGCATGGAGAGGAAACTCGCCCTTACGGCTCTGTCTCCTCCTCCAGAGAAGGAGGACTTACGACGTCAGATCCCAAGGTCCCTGGGTCCAGGGAGAGCTGTCCCACATCCTTCATGCCCCAGCAGGTAAAGCACAGGAAGTCCTACCTATTTGAGACTCACTCCAAAGCAGTCTCACCACCCAGATTTGTGGCTTCCCGGGTCTCACTGCTGTGACGCTGATGTGCTTTCTGCGTCCCCCCCGGGTCCCTTCCAAGCTGCAGACTCGAGCTGGCCCATGGCACCCTTCCCGTGGTGACCACAGGGCTCCAGCTCTGTGACCTGCTCCTCCTGGTCTCCGGGCCGTAAACAGTGCTTCTGTCCTTCACGTCGGCCCGCACCTCCGCGTCATCCTCGTGTTTCCTTTCTCCCGCACTCCTGTGCAGTCCACCGAAACTGCGAGTCCACCTTTACTTGATCATCACGTGTTCGTATGTGTATAAGCACACACCCGTGTATATACACGGACAGACATCTGTTTGCGTGTCAAGGAGGTAAAGCCTATTTAAACCTGTTTTGTGTTAAAATATAAAATTTATGGAGGGTGAGTGTACAGCTCTACATTACAGGTGTAAGGTGTGCTCTCTGGAAACACAACTCTCCGAGTCCCCAGCCTCCCTGCCAGGGCCCAGCCTGACTTCTGTGTCTGTCTTTCTACTTGCTGTGGCCCGTGAGGCCCTCTGACTGCTTTCGGTGCTGCCCTTTGCCTGCCCTGTCTGCTTTCCCTGGGTACTGCAGCCTCCTCCTGGCTTTCTGTCCTGTGCGTCGACCTTGTCACTCTCTCATGCGGCCACTGCCACTGTATCTTAGGTTGCGTCCTCCTCGGTCCTCTCCTGCTCTCCTCGCTGTGTCTCGCATGTGGCCTTGCCTTTGCCTGGCTATGCTGAGCTCGGGCCTCGCCGGCTTCTCCTGCCTGGTGCACGGTCCTTTGCTGCTCAAGAGTCCCTTGATGGTCCCGTCTCCGCTGTGTGCCTACTTCCTGTTTTCTTCAGCTCGCTTACTTTCTCTCCATGGTGCACACGTCTGACCCCCTGTGCAGTTGCTCGTTTTGACACATGTCCTGTTGCTCGAATCTTTCTTTCCAGGAGCTCAGGGACTGGTGTCTGTTTAGTTTGCTGTCGGGCTGCACCACCTAAGGACCTAATATCTGTCGCTGACAGATGACACAGCCCTTGCGGGCAGTGGCTCATTCTTTTTCTGTGTCTTCTTTCCCCAGCCTCCCCTCTTTCATCTGTGTGCTGCCCCCGAGGGACGTCCCAGGTTCCCGCCATGGGCTCTAATTTGGAGGGTTGTGGTGACACAGCTGGGGCCTTGGCCAGAGCGGCCCCGCTCTTACATTGCTTGAGCTTGTTCCGCTTTACGAATAAATGATCATTTGCAAAGGGAGGAGCATGAGGGTGAAATTTGCTCCCCCTCCCACTGTAGGTCTCATCAGCAAAACTACAGTTAGAGAAAAATTTGGAAGAATTTAAGCAGAAGTGCAGCAGAATGGAACAGGCTTCCGAGGAAAGGCAGGTGGAAGAGCAGGCCCTGAGGAGCAGCAGCCAGGTGAGCGAGGGGCGGGTGAGGCCCGGCGTCTCAGCCCTGCCGGGTGGGGAGAACGTCGGCGTGGGTTTTGGCAGGTTAGCACGACCGTATACAACTTTCTTTTTTATTTGCCAGAACTATTACGAAGTCTTCTGTCATAGGACCTGTGACATAGAATTATGTGCTTATTTTTTCATTTTTTGCATTCTGATGGAGTTATTTGCATGCACGTAGCAGTTAGAGGAAAATACGACTTGTTTTGAGAACTTCACACTCAAGTTTTTAAAGATTGTTTTAGACCCTCTCAGAGGTGGGAAGACGGGAGAAAGAAAGGGATTTTCCCAATGGAAAGCAGCAAAATTATTAATAAGAAGTAGTTTTTCGATTGCCTTTCTAGCCAGGCGTGGTGGTGTGCGCCTGTATTCCCGGCACTCGGAAGGCTAAGTGAGGAGGACGATCGCCGAGAGTTCGGGGCTAGTCTGGACTGCTTAGTGAGAGCCTGTCTCAAAATAAAGCAAAGTTGCCTTTCCAAGGGTTGGCCTCTGAGCGCTGCAATATTAAAGGCATGTAGAAGGTCACAGATTGAAATAAACAGAAGTAGTGCTAGATGGTGGACTTCTGGATTTGAAATTCTTATGAAAATCACTAACTGGGATTTCTGCTGCTCTGGCTGCCCTGGCCTGAGTCTTTGGTGTGTGAAGGTGCAGGTGCCGCTGTCTTTGGAGCCGCGTTTGGTCACAGCGTGCTGGGAGATGTTTACTGAGGGGCCGGCAGTGGTGTGAACCCCGTCGTTCCTGCTGACAGGAAGTGACCTGTGCGTTCTTCACCTGGGCTTCTCTCTGCATCTGTTTAGTGGCCTGCAGTTGATTTTCAAAAGCTTAAATAATGTCAGTTAGGAGTGGTTAACAGACTGGAGCAGTCTGATCCAAGCCGCGCAGGAAAAGGAACCGCAGAGGATCAGTGGAGTTTCTTCTCCCTCCAGTGTCCCAGGAAAGAATGTTTCCTCGCTTATTCTCAGGGTTTCACTATGACTTTTACACTGCGAAGATGAGAGTCGAAGTGCTCCGCTGCATGAGGGAAGAAGGGCGGTCTCAGCACTTTTAATACCTGGGGCTTTGCAGGGTGGGGCACGGCGGTGAAACCCAGGGCCCCTGGCACAGCCAAGGGCACAGGGAAGCTGTGCAGAGGGCGCGCTGCTGGAGGTGAGGGTGAGGGACGAGGCCTGGCCCCTGCCCTCCTGGGACCCCCTGGAAGAAGCTTCAGAAGCTGCAGTGGTTTCGACTTCAGATGGAAGTGTTTGTTGCCGCGGAACCAGTGTTTGCCTTTTGGCCGGTGGGCCTGACCTGCAGATGCTTCTGCTAACCCTGCCCCGGCAGACTGGTGTGGAGCCCTTCCTTCCCTGCCCGGGCTTCCCTTGCAGCCAGCAGCTGTCCGTGACATTTTGTCAAAGCAGTCATCTGGGAGGTGCAGGCTGGGCCAAGCAGGCCCCGTGGGCCGGACGTGTTTGTCCCCGCGGTTCTGGCCTGTCCCCTGCAGAGCTGCTTCCGGTGGGCTCCAGTCTGTCCGAGCTTCACCCATACCCACTGTCACTTGTACCCCACACCTTCTGTGTCAGGTGACAGCGGCGCAGGTGGGAAGTGCTTGCACAGGGTCTGCCCATGAGGCCAGAACTTGCCATCTTAGCTAATGTTTAATATGCCTCCTCATTTGAGGGTGATAACGATAGTTGAAAGGGTTTAGCTGGGTCCTGAACTTAGGTACTGGGACCAGATAAGTGACTTATGGTAAGTGTGCTGGTTAGAACTCGGAGATACAAGTGTAATGAATGGTGTTAGAAGGAACGAAACTTGAATACAGATCGCTTTCCGGCCCGCTGCCTGCTGTGTGACCCCGAGGCAGTGACTTACCCTTTCTGAGTCTGCCTATAGGGACAAATAATACCTCCACTCATGCAGGCTGAATTCACGAGCAAAGTCAATCTTTGTGTTCCGAGTGCAGCCTGGTGCTCAGTACAGTACTGCAGCCCACCTGCTTGTAGCTTTGGTCTTCACAGCTGCTGTGATGTTTGGATGTTGGTATTGTTTTCTGTGGCCTCCAGGCACGGAAGGTCAGGAGCAGGGGACGACAGTGCATTTGGGGTTTTCCGTATTGAGAACTTTGCCCCTTCCCTGACACTGCCACTCCGGGTGTCTCCCCAGGTGTGTAACTAACTGTAAGTTCAGTGCAGCATGATTAGCAGGCTTGTAGGTTTTGGATGCCGAAACCATGTGACAGTTGCCCTGAAATCTTCCTTGTCTGTGTTCAGTCACCGAATCCGCTGCGTGCAATGAGAGAGCATCAGTACAGGGAAATGTGATTTTGTGGCCCAGTCACGGGTAAAGTTCGCATTTAGCATGGAAGTGAGCAGAGGGCTTAGATGCCGATCAGCGCCATCCAGTGCCGGCTGTGTCACGTTGCGGGTTGGCAGTAAAATGCCGCGTGACCGCGTGACGGCAGGATGAGGGAACACTCACTCGGGGACCTTCGCGAGTGCAGGGATCAGGATCGCGCCTCCAAGGAGCTGGTCTGGCAGGAGCAGTGATACGGGGAGGGAGAAGCGCGCCCTGTACACCCATTGCTCTGCCTTCACCCCGCCAGGGACGCATCGAGCTGCTCTCACGGGTGGGACCGGGAAGGGGCGAGCACTAGCTGAAATTTGTTTCGTCTGGCCCTGGGAAGTGATGCTTCCCTTGCTGCCCCTGAACCGAGGTCGATCTGGGTGGAACTGCGCGCTAAGCTCTCATGCTGGCTGGCAGTTCGAGGGGTTTTTGTTGTGTTTTTCCGGAGTTGTGCCCAATTTTGCAAATCATGCGAGGACGGAAGAGACGCCCAGGAGGAAACATCCTGTGTGCTTAACTCATTGTTGGTAATGAGATACGCAGTCATGTCCTAAGTGGCTGTAGACTCGTGGAGAACTGATTGCTGATGGATAGCAGCATGCACACCCATTTTCAGATGTTCATTTTCTAAATGCTGGCCACTAAAAATTCGTGGGTTGATTGTAACCGTAGCATTATAAGCCTGCTGGGTCCCAGGATTGGCCGAATGTTTCTTTTTGGAAGCAAATATTTACGAAGCTAATGCCAGGACAGAAAAAGACGCGGCGGGCTAATCTTCCCATCCGGCTCGCTTTTTATTTCAGTGTCTCCACGTTGGGCCGAGATGGACGGAGACCAGCAGATGTGTAAACGTCCACCTCCTGCCTTCGTGGTCCATTCTCTCTCCCTCTTCTCTTTCTGATTGGGAGGCACCCAGTTTTACCTGCAGCATCTTCCTTGCCCAGCCCCCTAGAGGTAGACGTCATCCGAATAGATTGTTTCAGCTGAGCTGTTTTTTTCTGGCTCTTTGAGACTGGGTCTTGCTGTGCAGTTCAGGTTGCCCTTGAACTCACCATGTAGCCCCTGCTGGTCTTGAACTGACTGCCATCCTCCTGCCCTAGCCTCCCGAGTGCTGGGATGACAGGCGTAAGCCACCATGTGTAGAGTGAGAATATTTTCTAAACTGTAAGATAAAAAATCTAAGTCAACCCAGGCAGTGACTTACATGTCAGTCACTCCTTCGCCTTGGCCTCTTTCAGCACTGATCGGGGCCTTCCCACTGGTCGGGGAAGAAACACCAATAACAACACTTACCATTGGCACTGTGCTTTGAAGTATTCTGTCTTTCATACCTGGGATCTCATTGGATGGGTGATTCTTCTGTGCCCAAGAAACAAACCGGTGATGATGTCTTCCTTAGTCTAATGGTGCTGACTTAAGTCCATGGCCATTTTTGCCTTCATCATTGTGCTTTTGCACAGTTTGATGTAGACCAGCACAAGCATTGGCCTCTCACTGTGCATGGATTGATATCTTCCTTTGATATCTTCATCAGTTTCGCAGTGGAAGGCAGGCAGGACAGGGACACCGGGGACAGGAGTAGCATACCGACAACAGGTTCCGTCTCATTTTAATGCTGAAATGAATGTGTATACGGGAGTGGAGCCGCTGCCAGCAAGTTCCCCAGTACTCTCTGCTAGCCAGCTTCTCCCGCTTCTTGCATTTGGCTTTGCTGCCTTGGTCCCCATCTGCTGGTAGTAACCAGGCAGATGACGGCGGGCAGTCTTCCAACACAGCGGCGCCGGGGCCATCTGTTTCCTAATGATGCAGTAGGGTTTCGAAGGACGGGTCTTAATTGTTTCTTTAAGATTCAAAAATATCGTCCTACTTCTCAGAGGGCTGTTTTCAGGGTTTTGGAAATGCAGTTAAAAAAAAAAAAAATAGCCTCATGATTTTTCTCCCCCTGAAGGTTGTAGGACTCTTGGTCCTGTTGGTTTGTAACAATCTGTGCTAGTGCCCTGGATGCGGAGGGTGGTGGATCATATGCTTTGAAATACTTATCAGCTATAAAAATCATTAAAAGCAGAGTAGGGTATTTGGCATATTTATTAGGTGAGTCTTACATGGTTAAGCAGTTGTGTTTTTATTTGGCATGTAAATATTGCTGGATTTTAAGCTTAGAAGTCCCCTGAGATAATGGAATGGGAATGCATAAATGCATCTCTGCTATTTTATTGCACATTGATGCCGGATACTTATTTAATCGGGTTCCCAGGGAACCCGTTTTCACTGTGAAAGCTCCGACTCCCCCATCAGAATTAATTACTATTCTGTGCTCCAGCCTTTAATTCCTCATAGCACACTGTGTATCTCTTTAGTATTGAGAGCCTGGTGTTGTCTTCAGTGTTGATTTCACATTTTCTGTCTCTGGAGGGCACTTGTTCTGAAGCCAGATTCTATCTTTTTTATATGTGTATTCTTTCCTCGTAAGATGCATTCCAGTATTTTGAACACTAGATTTTCCTAATGAAAACATTTATTGAGGGTAATTTTACGCATAAAGACATTCCTGTCACAGTGAACCTTAAGATGGTTTTGCAAATAAAAGTGAAAATTTATAATACGAATATTTTGATTCATGAATACATCTGCTCTTTGCAAAGATATATTTGATTGGTCAGGTACGCTACGAACTTGGAGTGCTTTTTTGCTTTGTTTCTGGTGTTCTGAGACCGAGTCTCCCTGTGTAGTTCAGGCTGCTCTTGAACTCACTGTGTAGCCCAGGCTGGTCTTGAACATACAGTGATCCTCTTGCCTCAGCCTGTTGAGTATTGGGATTACAGGATATGCCAGCGTGCCCAGTGGAATGTGAGGCTTTTATCTTGAGGATTATGTGAATAGGCTCGTCCTTTTGAACTAACTCTGTGAGAGCCACGTGTATGACTAAAAAGTTCAAAGAAATACATTTCTTGGGGCTGGGGTTTAGCTCAGTGGTTCGGCCGCCTGCCTCACAAGCACAGGGACCCGAGTTCAAACATTGTCTGATCTGGGTTTGGTGTTTCTGATTTGATTTTTATTCATGGCTTTTGAGTCAAGTATTCTAAGCTACTGTTGTTGAGTAGAAGAAAGGGGAAATGTGATTCTTCGTGAGATACCCAGACGCTTCTACCAGGGACAGAGGTCAGCTGTGCCAGCATCTGTATTGATTATGACCAACACTTGCGTTTTAGGAAATGAAAAAGGAAAATGGCTTCCTTAGAGCTCAGTCTGAACAAAGGGCCAGAGAAGTCAGCCACCTGGAGGAGGAGCTGCGGAAAGCCCGAGTGTGTTTGAGTCAGAGCCAGAACTTCACGGAAGAAATGAGAGGTGAGTGAATTCAGAGCTGTCCGGTTCTCAGCTGTGATCCAGTGAGGAAGGCAGTGGCCTTGGCCTAGTGGCAAAACCTCTGAGCTTTTCTGTCTGTCCCCACAAAAGATGCCTCCAGACATGTGGAGGAAGTTTTGTCTTCCATTTTAAGTTCCAGTGTGGTAGTTAAACTTCTAAAATTTAGGACGGAGCGAGTTCCAAAATACCTGGTTTTTAAAATCACTTTGAAACCGGAAAAGTAAAGGTCTCCCACACGAAACCTCCTCTCACCTGAATGCTGGTCTCGGGGTCTCCAGTGGGTTGGTGTCGTCCACACAGCCCTTCGTTCTCCGCCGTCTGCCTCAGATCGCAAAACCCTGATACTCAGTGCATTGTTTCCAAGCCCTTCGCGGCCTATGTACTTTGACAACTTACTGGATCGAATGATTTTAATTTCCTAATTTTAAAGCCAACGAATTATGTGGTCCATATCAAATGAATCCACATTTATTTCATATTTCTTTGTCCCCTAGTCTTTCACAATTTTTTTTCTCACCTGATCTAGGAATTTCTTTTATTTTTGACCTGTGACTGTGTGTCACGCTTCTTTATGATTATTTTAATTTTAATTTTTGCATTTTTTTTGAGGCAGTGTCTCATTATGTTGTCCAGGCTGGTTTCAAAGTGGTGGGCTCAAGCCATCCTTCTTCTGCCTCATCCTCCCAAGTAGCTGGAACTAAACCTCCTGGAGAGAGCGTTCTGTTTTCTGTAGCAGCAGGTAGAAATATTTGTCCTGCAGGAAAGCTTTTGGAGTGTATGGTCACTGGGGCGTTTCCCAGTGCTGGCCACCCATGTTGTTGACTGAGGTTCTCCTGAGTGAGACAGACAGAAGCACTTGGGGACTGTCCCAAAGCTGTCAACTTCTCAGATTAGAGATTAAGATTAAGATTAGAGGGCTGGAAATCTGTGTGGCTTCTCATTTAGCATTGAACCTGAGAGGCCCTCGACTCTCAATCTCCCCAATATGCCAGATTCGATCACAACCAATGAATGTGAATCTGAAGTCTTTATCATCACTGAAACCTTCGGAAGCCTTGTGTCAGAGAAACATCATGGTTATTCTCAGCCAGAAAGGAGTTTGGGGAGAGGCGAATCATTGAATAGAAAGTAAGGTGGTCATGGAAGTTTCCAAATGATTCTAATTCTCTCACCACCCTTACTGGGAGGGATTGAAATGTGGGTGAAATTATCCCTCAAGAATAATCCCATGTAGGCCGTGAGAGTTACTGATATATAGCGTCGTGGACTTTTGGCTGAAATGGTAGAGTAGCTGTTTATTTTTCACGGACATCAGAACTGCCTCACAGTGAACTGGGAGATTTTCACTTTAGTACTATTCTTCCTGTTTTCTCTCTTCCAATAAATATTTCAAAAGATGGAAAAAATACAGATATATTAGTTTGTTTGGATTTTTAAAAGGAGCTTATAGTTTTTAAATCGTTTTATTGCAGTGCTGGGGATCGAACCCAGGGCCTTCCAAGTGCTAGGCAAATGCTCTACCAGCTATCCCCAGCCCTAGAGTTTAGGAATCTGATAGAACACTTTTTTATTAGAGACACTGACAGATTTGTTTGGTTTTTTTAAAATCTTTTTTAAACAGCTAAGAATGCCTCTCAGGAAACCATGATGAGAGAGCTTCAAGAAAAAATAAATCAGCAAGAGAACTCCTTCACTTTAGAGAAACTGAAACTCACCTTGGCTGATCTGGAAAAGCAGCGAGACTGTTCCCAAGACCTTCTAAAGAAGAGGGAACATCACATTGAGCAACTGAACGAAAAGTTGAGCAAGATGGAGAAAGAGTCCAAAGCTTTAATGAGTGCCTTGGAGTTAACAAAGAAAGAATACGAAGAGTTGAATGAAGAGAAAACTCAGTTTTCTCGTTGGAGAAGTGAAAATGAAAAACTTTTACATCAGATGGAATCAGAAAAGGAGAGCTTGCAGAGTAAAGTCCACCACTTGGAAATGTGCCTCAAGACACAACAAATAAAAAGCCATGAATATAACGAGAGGGTAAGAACCCTGGAGATGGAAAGAGACAATCTGGGCGTGGAGATGCGAAACCTGTGCAGTGTGGTTGACAGCAAGACGAGGGAGGCAGAGATGCAGAAACAAGCGTATGAGGGGCTACAGCAGAAGGCGGAGCTCTCCGAACAGAAGCATAAGAAGGAAATGGAAAATCTGTGCATGAAGACTTCTCAGCTTACTGGGCAAGTTGAAGACCTAGAGCAGAGGCTTCAGTTACTGTCAAGTGAACTACTAGACAAGGCCCAGCATTACCAGGAGCTGCAGGCTGAATATGAGAACCTCAGGGATCTGTTCAAATCCAAAGAGTCTGCACGGTCACAGGGGGACCATCAGAGCAGTTGTCTGGCTTTTGAACAGCAGTCAGCAATGAGTGCTTCCTTTGTAAATGTGATGGGAGAACAAGGAAGCAATTCTTTAGAAAGGAGCCGGTGTCTTTTAGATGCAGACCCAAGTCCAAAAAGTCCGGCCATCCTACACAGTAGAGTCATTTCGCTCGAATTTTCCTTAGAATCTCAGAAGCAGATGAACTCGGATCTGCAGAAGCAGTGTGAAGAGTTGGTTCACATCAAAGAGGAAATAGAAGAAAATCTCATTAAAGCAGAACAGATGCATGAAAGCTTTGTGGCCGAGACAAGTCAGTGCATTTGCAAGTTACAGGAAGACACTTCTGTTCATCAGAATGTTGTCGCTGAAACTTTAGTTGCCCTGGAAAACAAGGAAAAAGAGTTACAACTTTGGAAAGCAAGATTAGAAGTTGAGCAAGTAGAGATTCAAGAATTAAAAAAGAGTAACCAGCTCCTGGAAGACTCTCTAAAGGAGCTACAGCTTTTATGTGAAACCCTGAGCTCAGAAAAAAAGGAAATGAGTTCCATTATTTCTCTAAGTAAAAAAGAAATTGAAGAGCTAACCCAAGAGAACGGGACTCTCAAAGAGATGAATGAAATCTTAAACCAAGAGAAAATGAACTTACTCCAAAAAAATGAGAAATTTTCAAACTGTATAGAGAAACAAGAGAAAAGCATTTCAGAGTTGTCTGATCAGTACAAGCAAGAAAGACTCTTTTTACTACAGAGATGTGAGGAGACGGGAAGTGCATTTGAGGATCTTAGTGAAAAATACAAAGCAGCACAAGAGAAGAACTTGAGGTTAGAATGCTTGCTCAACGAATGCAACAGTGTTAGTGAAAGTAGGAAAAACGAATTAGAGCAGCTAAAGGCAACATTTGCAAAAGAGCACCAGGAATTCTTCACAAAATTAGCCTTTGCTGAAGAAGAAAACCAGAAGCTAATACTAGAGTTTGAGGTGGTGCAGCAAGCTTTGAAGTCTGAGATTAGGGACCTCCGCTCGAGTTCCAAGAGTGAGACTGATGCCTTACAGCAAGAAATCACGGCTTTAAAGGAAGGACAAAATAAGATGCAAAAGGAAGTTAATGACTTATTTCAAGAGAATGAGCAACTGATGAAGTTAACCAAGACCAAACATGAAGGTCAGCATCTCGAATTGGAGCCAGTTAGGGACCCTGTGAATGAAAGAGAGAGTGAGATCGATATGTGCAGTTTCCAACTTCATACGGATCTCGGGGTTGAAGACATTGCTCCTAACAATTCTAATGCACAGATGGTACAATTAGAAGCTTTGATAGGAAATACGGAATTAAACCCTCAGGAAAGTGAGAAGGAGAAAGAGAGCCTGCAGCAGGAGGTACAGACACTTAAAGGAGAATTAAAAGCTGGCAACCTCCAAGGCCGTTCGTCCCAGGAAATGAGCGGCCTCATGGACTGTGAAGCGGATGCAGAAGGGAAGTACAGTGCGGTGCTTTGTGAGCTGTCCCCAAGGCAGGGTGACCATGCACACTGGCGATGTTCTTCTCTGCAGGCAGCCTTGAGCAAGCTGGGCGAGCTGGAGAAGATGTGTGAGATGCTGCAGGTGGAGAAGCTGCAGCTGGTGTCGGAGCTAAATGACTCAAGGGCAGAGTGTATCACAGCAACCAGTAGAATGGCAGAAGAGGTAGAGAAGCTAGTGAATGAAATGAAAATATTAAATGATGACAACGGCCTTCCCCAAGCTGAGTCTGTGGGAGAAATGCCCGCCAACGAATTTTATAAATGGAAAAATGAGCAGACACTTGTGTCCTCGAACCCTTTAGATACCAGCAATTCCTACGAGCAGCTGACCTTGTCAAATAAAGAGGTTCAAACGCACTTCGCCGAACTGCAGGAGAAATTCTCATCTTTACTAAGCGAGCACAAGATTTTACATGACCAGCGCTGTCAGATGAGCTCCAAGATGTCGGAGCTATGGTCCTACGTTGACACGCTGAAGGCTGAAAATTCAGCCTTGTCAGTGAATTTGAGAAACCTACAAAGTGACTCGGCAAAGGAGATGAAGCCAGAGGAACATGTTCTGTCACTGTCCTTCTCTTGTGTGACCAACAGCCCTAGTGTGACAAGTTTTGGAGAGTCCTCTTTTTACAAAGATGTTTTAGAACAGACCGGTGACACGTCTTTTTTGAGTAATTTAGGGGAGAGTGTTCCAACAAATGCCAGCTTGGAGGAGGAGTGTCTGACCACAAAAGAAGCCCCAGCCACCGCGGAGAGGAGTGTGGAAGAACTCGAGACCCTTTGTCAGGGGTACCTGCGGTCCCTCAAGAATCTGCAAGAGGAAATGGAAAGTCAAGCGATGGTAAAAGATAAAGAAATTCAAGAGCTTGGGGAGTTATTAAGTTCTGAAAGGACGGAGCTGGACTGTCTGAGGAAGCAGTACTTGTCCCAAAATGAGCAGTGGCAGCAGAAGCTGACAAGTGTGACGCTGGAGATGGAGTCCAAGCTGGCGGCTGAGAAGCAGCAGACGGAGCACCTGTCCCTCGAGCTGGAGGTGGCGCGGCTGCAGCTTCAGGGACTGGAACTAAGTTCTCAGTCCTTGCTTGGTGCCGACAATGAAGAGGTAAGAACCCAAGTGGGCCTGCTGTTTCTCAGTTTGGGTGACCAGTTGGCCTTCCATCGATGTTTGTGGAATTGGAGTCAACCTGAAATCTAAGTTAGAATGTTTTTAGGGTTCAAGGAAATAAAATACCAAAGTTTTTTTTTTGTTTTTTTTTCAAAACCAACCAGAACTCTTGAAACACGAGGGAACCTTAGGGAGGAATAAATTTTTTTTTTTTAATTTTTGGTACCGGGGATTGAACTTGGGTCCTTGCGCTTGCAAGGCAGGCCACCGAACCGCTGAGCTAAATTCCCGGCCTGAATAAATTTTTATAGTGATTAGATTTAAGCACTCATTTCTGGAAAATTACCTAAGTCTGGAGAAAAGGATTAAAGAGCAGTGTGAGTGCGTTTTTACTGTGGGTTAATAAGACATACTTGGCTATTAAGAGTTTCTGAGTGGTAATGTGACAGACTTTTAGCCTTTTTCAGACTATTTTCATTTTAATGTTAGCATTATAGTCAAAACAAAATAGAAGAACTACTTTACATATTACTTAGTTTTCCCTAACAATGTGTTATGGTACAAATTGGTAACTTGGTATCAAGTAATTTAAAAAGGCATTTCTGTCCTTGAATACAAGATTGTTGTTTCATTACTTACGACTTTGTCCTTCCAGTCGGCAAGCTTTCCTAATAATGGTGCCCAGAGTGTGAGTCTCACTGTCTGCCTTTGTGAGGTAGAGAAACAGGTCATGGTGGGAGGACAGGAATCGTCACAGTAGCAGGCTTCGTTTTATAGATGAGAGGGAAATGAGAAGCCTACGTGCAGTTTAACCAAACATATGCAGAGTTGACGCTGCACAGATGGGGAGTTGAAGTCCTTAGGCTGGATGTCTGCTCATGAACCTTCACTGCCTTCTCTTATTAGGGTTAATATCATAAATACTAAGGATGAAACCTGGACATGTCAAATGGAATTTGTTAGTCCTATATTTGATAATTACAAAAAGATATATATTAAAGTAGGTAGACTACTCCTAGCAAGGAAGAAAGGTAAAATTGCATTGTGTTAAAACTCAAGTCGATCCAAGAATGAAAGTGTTTGTCTTCCTGATACATAACTTGCCCAGGGCCTTGCACGTAGGTGGGACCTACACTAAATGTTTACCTGTGTTGAGTCACAATTAGGACAGGGAGAGAAGGAGGGAAGGTTGTGGTGAGGATGTGCTGTGTGGGGACATGTGCTTACCAGAGGCTGGAGGCCCTTTTCTATAAAGTGATAAAAAGGCCTTTTGTTCTTCCTGAAAACTAACATGCATTCTGGTTCTATGTCATGATTACAGGCTATTCAGAGCCAAAATGGTAGCTATGACATAAAAGAATCAGAAGAATATACTTCAGAGATTACAGAAAAAACACCAAAGCGGGACAGTCATCAGATCTGTGAAGAGGTTGTCCAGCAGGACCTCAGCGTAGAGTCTGAAGAAACCACTGAGGGCCCACGTGTTCCACAGGGAGCCAGAGAAGTGCCCTCGGAAGCCACTGATGACACAGCAGTGGGAGTCCGCGGCCAGGGCTGTCTGCAACACACTTCTGAGCTGTCATCTTGTGGCCCTCATGCTTTAGCGCCCATGGAGTTTGTGGAGAATCAAGTGTCTATCCAGACTCTCCAGCTGCAGGTGAAAGAGGCATCAAATGAGAATTTGAGATTACTTCACGCCTTAGAGGACCGTGACAGAAAAGTTGAAAATTTGCTGAATGAAATAAAAGAGTTAGACTCCAGACTTGATTTACAGGAGCTGCAGCTAAGGACCAAGATCAAAATGTGCTTACAGTTGGAAAAGATAGTCGAGGAACTTAAGAAAGAAAAATGTAACTTAAGTGAAAAGTTGGAATCGTTCTCCCGTGCTGACCAGGAGTTAGGCCCGAGAGTAGAAACTTCCGAAGCTCTCAGTTCTAATTTAGAAATGGGCACCGACGACTCCCCGCAGGAAGTTCTTGAAGAGAACGTTCCCATGGTGGGTGAGAGCCGGAAGGACGGATTCCTCGCTGTGGAGATCAAGGCTGAGGACGCTGGGATTGAACATCGCGCCCTTGCCATGGAAGCTGACTTAGAGGTGGCTCAGAATGAGAAGCTGTGTTTGGAAAGAGATAAGGAAAACTGTCAGAAAGTTATTGTCCACCTTGAAGAAGAACTCTCTGTAGCCACAAGTGAGAGAAACCGGCTTCATGGAGAATTAGACACCGTGACGAAAGAAAACAGAACCCTGGCCCAGATGTCTGAGGCGATGAAGGAGAAAGTCCAGGCACTGGAGGCTGAGGTGAGGGACAAAGCGGCTGTCCTTCACACTCTGTCCTCGCAGCTGAGCGAGCTGTCGGCAGACAGAGGTGACCTGCAGAAGCAGCTGCGGAGGTTGGAAGGCGACTCCCAGGCACTGTCCTCTGCAGCGCGGGAACTGGAGAGCCAGGTCGGACGACTGGATAAGGAGAAGGAATCGCTGGCCAGGGAGTCTGAGAGCCTGCAGGCCCAACTGAACGAGTTGGAACAGGAAAGGCTGAGCGCGTCCAGGGCCCTGGAGGTTGCACTGATGGAGAAAGATGAGCTCGCAGAGCGACTCGGCTCCACCCAGCAGGAGGTGCACCAGCTGCGGAAGGGGATGGAGAAACTGCGTGTGCGCATCGAGGCCGACGAGAAGAAGCAGCTCCACGTCCTGGAAAAGCTGAAAGGATGTGAGCGAGACAACGATGCGCTCCGGGATAAGGTGGAGGGTCTCCAGCGGGAGCTGCAGATGTCCGAGGAGAACCAAGAGCTGGTGATCCTGGATGCCGAGAACGCCAAAGCCGAGGCGGAGAGCCTAAGAGCACAGGTAGACGAGATGGCCGAAAGCCTGAGAGGTTCCCGGGTAGATCTCACCACACTCAGATCTGAAAAGGGAGATCTGACAAAGCAGCTGCAGGAGCAACAGGGCCAAGCGTCCAAATTAGAGGCGCGGCTCTCTTCGCTTCAGAGTCTTGTAGAAGAAAAGGAGCAAGCGAGGGCACACATGCAGGAAGAATCCAGAACCGCGGTGGAGATGATCCAGGCACAGGTGAGAGAGCTGACTGAGGAGGTTGCAGCCTTATGTCAAGACCAAGGGACCCCGAAGGCCGAGGAGCAGAACCTGGACGCCCCAGGGAATGAAGTGCCTCGGCTGCGCTACAGCCTAGGGAGGCTCCGAGCCCGCCTGGACGCCGATCGTGAGAAGCAGCTCCGTGTCTTAGGACAACTGAAGGGAAGCGAGTGTTGTGTGCAGCTGCTGCAAGGTAGTGTCGAGAGCCTGCAAAGGGAGCTGGAGCTGTCAGGCAGAAGCCAAGAGCAAGCAGTTCGTGAGGCTGAGAATTCCAAAGCCGAGGTGGAGACCCTCAAAGCAGAAATCCAGGAGATATCCCAGAACCTGAGAGACTTGAAAGTCGATCTGGTTAATACGAAGTCAGAAAAAGAAGATCTGACCAGAGGCCTACAGAAAGAGCAAGCCCGTGTGTCTGAATTAGAAATACGGAACTTTTCATTGGAAAACCTCTTGCAAGAAAAAGAGCACCAGAACGTTCAGGTAAAAGAGGAATCCGAAGTTGCAGTGGAGACGCTTCAAGCACAGTTAAAATTATTGAATGAGAAAGTGGTAGCCTTGTGCAACGACCAAGAGGCCTGCAAGACCAAGGAACAGAGTCTGAGCAGTCGGGTGGATTCTCTTGAAGTGGAGAAGGCTCATCTGCTGCAGGACCTCGAGGGAGCCAAACGTAATTATGTTACTTTGCAGTCTTCTGTGAATGGCCTCATGCAGGAAGTAGAAGATGGCAAGCAGGAACTAGAGAGGAAGGATGAGGAGCTCAGTCGGCTGCAAGGTCAAGTTCAAGATCAGGAGCAGCTCGCCTCTCAGCTGTCCCAGGTGGAAGGAGAGCGGCAGCTCTGGCAGAAGCAGAAAGCGGAGTTGGAGCAGAAGGTCCAAGGGCTGCAGTCCCAAAACCACACCTTGCGGGACTCCTTGGAAGCCCTGCAGAATTCTTGCCAAGAGCTGGAGCGTGAGCTCTCATCGACAAAAGTGGAAAAAATATCCCTGGTTGAAAGAGTGAGTGGCTTTTTATTTCTTTACATTGAGATACGTAGTCATGAGAGGAGGGGCACTTTGTGAATTAAGATTGCTCCGGGACGGTGTCTTCCCAGGTGGACCGAACTCTGGAAAGGTGTTGGGTTTGTGGGGTCACGAGTTTGGGGGCTGCTTGTCATCCTCCCCTCCCCACCGTAGTAGTGAATTCTTGGACACATTCAGAGGGGATGTTTTCACCAACTGGGTCAGGTTTTCAATGTGGCACTCCCCGCTGGGCGCCTTGGTGCTAGGTGGGGGTCTTGAGCCTTCTTAGCCTTCCCTTGCACTGGGGTAGTCTCCCCGGACCCAGTTGAGAACCACCGTTACAGACTATAGCCATACTACTTAGGATTAAAGGGATCCCCTACCTCCCTCGTTTTCACCTTTTAGAAAAATTACTTTGCAGGATACTGATACAGTGTAACCGACAGCACATGTGGTTCCTGGGGTAGTCTGGGGGGCTCGTGCCTTGAGCCCCCTCTTTAATGGCACAACTTTCTTCGCTCTGCTCTTTGATTCGCTGATGATTATGGGGGAGCTCTGCCGTCAAGAGGCTCAATCACCCAGTGTATTTACTGACCCATCTGGGAAAATAATCCCTTTCTAATTAAGTCTTTACCGAGCAAATAACAAAACAGGAATATCCAGAAATGACAGTTGATCCTAATTTCTAAGAATTTCAGGGTTTTGTATACCTTGCAAGAGATGGGAGGCAACGAGACAAACTATGCCAGGTGACCAACAGCAGGGGGCAGTATGAACCATGGAACCTTCACCCATTTGCACTAATAATGGCCCTGCTTCTGGCAGATGAGCAGGACCTGTGGAATTCGTAGAGATCCAGGAATTAATAAAAATGGAAAGCACTGCCTCTAAATTATTCTCTGGTGTTTAACTCAAGTTAGAACCTTTGTGAAGGAGTTGAAGACTTAGTAAACTTACCTGTCCTGCTATTGTTTATTCTTATTGCTGTCCTTCTTATTGCAGTCAATCTTTGCTGGGAATAGGATGCTTACCAGTAGGTGTTGAGGGTACTGATCGAGCGGAGTAGTCAAGGCAGAGTAGCCAGCATCTGTTTGGTTACTGGATGCCAATGTCAGGGTCAGGGAAGGTTGGGTCAGAGTGGCTAATGTGATCGAAACAGATGCCCCCAAAGCAGATGCTAATGACTTTTACATCACAGGTAAACACCATGACTGCGAAGGAGGCTGAGCTCCAGGCGGAAATGCAGGATATGGTACAGAAAACAACAGAGCTGAAAGAAGAATTCAGTGGAGAGAAAAACAGGCTCACTGCGGAATTAAATGTGCTGTTGGAGGAAATAAAGAGCAGCAAAGTAGGTTTCTTTGTCACAGGTTCTTTGCCGTCTGCTAATGCAGTGTGTGTGCTCTCGTGGATGGATTTTCTAAGATCTTCTGAAGGCACTGAACTTTTTTCAACTTTTGAGCATAAATAACCTCGGGCTTGTGTTATGCACAGACTTGCCGTGCTTGCCACCGTGTGACGCTGTCATGAGCCTAGGAGCCATGCACATTATCTTAGGAGCCACGACTGATGCTCGTGATGCTAAGGACAGAGTGACAAAACCACGGGTGCCAGGGAGGTGTGGGGAGGCGTGGGAAGCGGCGGGGGGGCGGCTATGCATCTTCAGGTGTGAAATTTATAATCTATGGTTCTTTACTGTATTTCATAGTTGCTTCTTATGCCTTGTGAAAGGGTTCGGAGTTTTAAATGGAATTACTTGGCTTTGTAGACAGACCACCTAAAATACGTAGATCAGCTGAAGAAGGAGAATGAACGCGCTCAGGGGAAAATCAAGTTGTTGCTCAAATCCTGCAGACAGCTGGAAGAGGAGAAGAAAATGTTGCAGAAGGAGCTGTCTCAAGGAGAAGCTGCCCAGAAGCAAAACACAGGTGAGCGCTGGGAGGTCACGCCTGCTTCCCAGGGGTGAAAGGGCACACTGGGTGTGTGTGCGCTCAGAGGAGCTGCTTCTAGGGCTCTGTTCTGAGTCCATTCCCAGCAGTGACTCATTTCTTCTGAGTTTCACTTGAGTCATAGGATCTTGAATGAAGCCTGCATTTTGCAATTGAGTTGTTCTTCTTTTCTTGAAAACTCACAAAAACAAAACCCTCTGGTGCTACCCTTTTTGTGTTGTTGTTGTTCTGAGACAAGGTCTTGCTATGTCGTTCAGGCTGGCCCTGAACTACGTAGCCCAGGCTGGTCTCGAACTCCCAGCAGTCCTCCTGCCTCGGCCTCCTGAGTGCTGGGATTACAGGCCTGTGCCACCACGCTCGGCCAGTGCTGCCTTTTACCTGTGAGCCTCTGAGAAGAGTTTTTCATGTTCTTTGTTGAAGTAGTTTCTTCATGAAAGGCACTTTGGCACCTGCATTGACATTGTTGACTTGGAAGTAGCTGGTTCTGATGGGTCCTGGCCCAGCCTCATGGCTCAACTAAGAGGAAGGGGTGGGGAACTAAATTTGGGGGTCTGTGAGCCAAATCTGAAAGACAAAGAATACCTCTCCCTGTCACTTTTTTTTTGTACTGGGGATCGAACTCGGGCCCTTGTGCTTGTGAGGCAGGCGGCAGAACCGCTGAGCTAAATCCCCATCCCTCCCCGGCACTTTCTTCCTCTGCCACTCTCAGAGGGCTCCCTGGGGTGGGCAATGGCAGGTGGCGTGAGTGGCTGCTTCACCCAATGCCTGGGCGGGTGGTCAGCTGTGGACCTGGTGGGGCAGTGCTTAGGGTAAGTTGGGGCTTCGGAGACTGTTTTCTAAAAAGAGATTTAAAGCCACCTGTGGCAGAAACAGTGGACCTTCGAGTTACAACTGGCCTGACATAGAAACAACTTCGGTTAAGACAAGAATTTTAGTTTTAACTTACAACCACAGTCTTGAGTTACGACCTGAATGCCGGCCACTTGTGCTTCCAGTTGGTCTCAGATACAAATTTAACTCTTAAAGAGCTCTGGAAGAAACCCGACAGCACCCTTTCCTGTGTGGGGTTGTGAAATCCTAGGCCAGCGTCTCTCTCAGGACCTTGAGAACTGCCTGTGTACAGGAGAGAGTCTTCGAAGGCTGTGGAGAGGAACCTGCACCTTCAGTTGAGTAACTTGAGTTATAACCAGCCCTCTGGAGCAAATTGCATTCGTAAGTCAAGGGTCCGCTGCAGTTGACTAAGGCTTTATATTGTTCACCAAAACTATCATTTAGAAGTCCAGCACCTCCTGTCATTGTCCCCTTCTGTCCCCATAGCCCTACCACACATTTCGTGATCTTTCCTGACTTCTCTTGTTCACTTACGGTGGGAAGAATGGATGGGGGAAAAGAAGGTACAAAAGCTTAGTTCGTCTGATCTCATGTAACTTCTTCCTCGAGGAAGTTTAACAGGAGGTAGAGATTTGGGTGGCTTTTATTTGAGCTGTTCCAATAAGACCACGCCATCTGCTAGACTCTGTACCTGGATGTGCTACATCGTCTGAACGATGCCAACACAAGTAGATAACTCTCCCAACCCCTCCGGCAAAATGCGGTGTAAGTCTGCGGTGGCCTGCGCCCCAGGGCAGAAGCAGCATCAGCTTGCGTGTGACGTGTCACTCTCTTTGGGACAGGTGCTCTTGAAGCTAATGTGGATGAGCTGAGGGCTGAGATCAGAGAGCTGAAAGAGACTCTTGAAGACAGAGCCAAGGAGGCTGACGAGTACCTCGATAAGTACTGCTCCCTGCTGATAAGCCACGAAAAGCTGGAGAAAGCGAAGGAGATGTTGGAAACACAGGTGGCTCGCCTGAGTTCACAGCACCCGAAGCACGGTCTCAGCGGCTCTCCCCTGCGGAGTTCAGCCACTCCAGAGCCGTCTCCAGCCCCTTTGGTTGGGGAAGGGAAGTCATCGTCTGGTCAAAGCAAAGCTTCCGGCAAGAGGCAAAGGTGCAGTGGGAATTGGGAGAGTGGAGGAGGACTAACTCCTTCTACCCCAGAGGCCTTTCCTAAGAAAAGCAGGACAGTGGTTGGAACCGGTGGCATCCACCCTGCCAAGGATGAAGAGTTTGAGCCGGAAGGGCTTCCGGAAGTTGTCAAGAAAGGTATGCGTAATTTTAAACAACTTCACAGGCTGCTGGTGGTAGAGCTCAGTGGTACAGTACGTGCCTAGCCTGTGGGGCCCTGGTTCTATCCCCACCTCAGCCAAAGAAAGCAAAAAACCCCCTGGAAGTTATATGTGTGTTCTTTTGAAGTTCTGTATAATCATTCACGTGAAAAAATAGAAACATTGACTTTTTAAGTGTTTGGGTTATTGTACAACAATTCCAACTGCTCTGCATAGCCATAGTTCACTGGTGTTTTTTTGGTACCGGGGATCAAACTCAGGACCTTGCACTTGAGAGGCAGGCAGCAGAACCACTGAGCTAAATCTCTGGCCTGCCATGGTTCATTTTTCAATTGGGAAGGTATCATTTTCCTTTCTGTTGTGAAAAAAAAGTGACTAAGATTAGTTCCTCATAACCCACTACACAAAGAGCTGGTGGATTTGAAAAATGACTGTCAGAAACCTGTTTGGAATTTGGTGTTTCTTCAGGGACCCCCTCAAACTTTTCATCCTTCCATCAGTTACAGATAGATGAGGAGGACAGTGGCCCTGGGGATGCTGGCCCTGTGGCTGGCACCACTGAGCATACTTTTTTATTTTTAAACTCCATGCTAGCCCAGGTGTGGCCAACAGGTGCAGGTCAGCCGAAAAACCACCTGTTAGTGGTGATTCATGACCAGAAAATGCTCAGAAACTGTGTGCAAGAGGTTAGAAATTTTCATAGCAGTCGATATTGTTGCGACATCTGAGCACGTAGATGTTTTTGCTTTGGGGGCGGTCTTATTTTATTATTCAAAAATATCGCACAGCAGATTGGAAATCCCCCTCCCCAAATCACAGCTCATTCTTTGCTGGATCGTTGGAGAAACACAGTCCTGAATGGCGTAGCATGCCGTTAGCATGTGATGTGCTGTCTCTTCGTGTCCTTGGGGCTGGTGGCCCCTTTTCCCTGCAGTCAGTGTTCGCTCTTTTTCTGGAAGCAGCCGGTGTAAGCCAGTGTGTGGTCACTCTTAGGAAGGCCGGGCTGCCCATCTTGTCCTCCAGCAGAGTGGCTGCCTGAAGGTTCTGTTATCGCTGTACCTTTCCTCCCTTCAGGTGACAGCTGGCTTTTTTGATTTTTCTTTTTTATGTTGCCCCTACCCCCTTGTCCCTCCAGTCCAAATTTTATAGTAAGGTCTGCTGGTGTTCTTTGGATCTTAGAATAGCGCGAGCTAGAACATTCATGTAGGAGAAGAAGCAGAAAAAAATATTTTTGGGGTGCACATTGCTGCTTTTTCCTTCTTCCCCATGTGGTTCTTTGTTTCTAAAAGGAGAAAATATGATAGTAATACGCTGGAGTTGGTGACCCCTGGGGAAGCTCTGGTCCCAGAGACTGGGAGAAAACATGTTTGGAGTTGGTTTTGTTAAGACTTTGCATGGTTCCACTATGTGGGGAATTGGACTGGGCAGCCTTGACAGCCGGCGTCTTTGCCCTTAGGGTTTGCTGACATCCCAACCGGAAAGACCAGCCCCTATGTCCTGCGTAGGACCACCATGGCCACCAGGACCAGCCCCCGCCTGGCTGCGCAGAAGTCAGCCCTGTCCCCACTGAGTGCGGGCAAAGAAAATCTTGCAGAGTCCTCCAAACCAACAGCTGGTGGCAGCAGATCACAAAAGGTAAACTGCAGCGAGCCTGGGGCTCCCGTCTGTGACCCACGAAATCACAGCCCTCCCACTCAACAGCGCTTTGAGTCCTACCGTCTTCCTGTTGTGGAGCAGAGAAGTCAGTAGGAGCAAGCCTGGGTGTGGCAGTGCCGCTCGGCAGGAGCTGGTCCCCGCCCTGACAGCCACCTCTAGCCATTTGCTGTGTGACAGTGCAGAGGGCCCCTGAGGAGGTTTCCAGGGTGACGTTTCGCCTCTGCCCGGGGTACTGATCATTGTTTTTTCCCCACTTTCCATTTTCATCTGCCCCCAGCTACATATTTGTCATGGTTTTTAGTAATTCTTTGCTGTCTGGAGAAAGCACTGTTTTAGCAGACAGCTAAAGAAAGGGCTGTGTTCCTGGAATTGTCTGTTGTGATTTTTGAGGAGAGGACTTGATCTCAGTGACTGCTATGTGCTTCACAGACAGCCCAGCAAATGCTGTTTAGCACGTAGAGAGTATGGGCTAGCAGATCTTTATTCCCGATACTGTAAGCCAGACCAGCAGCTGCTCTTTATGTATGCAGGAGTCAGAAGGAGCCAGGTTTGAGCTCCTGGGTTAGGTGGTGTCATTTCCTAGATGGGTGACTAGGAGCCATCCTTGCCCCTTAGTGAAAAATAGTGTCCGTTCCTGTTGGTCTGAAACACATGCATTTTATTTACTGCTCTCATCTTATTTTCTTATTTACTGAGCTCTCACAGTAAGTGGTTATCTTGGTCACTTTTCATATTGCTGGAACAAATACCTGACACCCACAATTTAAGGAAAGAGAAGTTTGTTTTGGCTCCTGTTTCAGTCCATAGCCTGCTGGCTCCAAGGCAGGAGAGCTACTCCCAGCCTGGGGACAGGAAGTAGACAGCAAAGGGAGGAAGTGGGACAGGAGATAAACCCTTCTGGGTTAAACGGACAGTGACTCACGTCTTCCAGCCAGACTCTGCCTCCTGACAGTGCATCAACTATATTCCCCCATAAAGCAATTTCAGAATCCCTCCCGATGAGCCCACGAAGGCTCGGGGACATTTTAGATTTAAACCACAATAGTGGTTATTGTAAGAGAATGAAGAAAGTGAGACTCATAAAGACGTATCCTCCCAGCGTTAGTACTTCCTCTCTCTCAGCTTCCCGATCTTGCTCTTGCCACAGCGCCAGAGCTTTTCAAATTGGGGACCATGGGAATACTGTTGGAAATTGCTAGGCTAGCTTCGAGAAGTTTTAACATTTTGTGATGTTACTCTGCTCACCTGTCAGAGTTTGAGTGATCCATCCAATAAGCTGAAACTAGCAAAAGAAAGAAAAAGAAAGAAAGCTTTGAAAGTATAGTAACTCTTTTTAAAAAGTGGTAATTCTGTGAGCAAGGATGATCCACATTAGGATTTTGGGTACCAAATGCAAACAGTGTTGGTCATTAGTTGCATCAAAACAGAAACAAGTTTGCATATTGGTTTTTTTTGTTGTTGTTGATGTGGAAGAGCTATACAAAAGTTATAACCTACTAATAAGACTATTAAGTCTGTTGCTACTTTATATTATAATAAAGTTAATTCAAGGATGAGAAAAGTCTAAGATTTTCTTTTAGTCTTTGAAATGGGACCTCCGTTACTTGCGTTAGAAATAACGTACTTACCGTTTTGTGTACGTTTTCCTCCATCCCCTCAAATATTCGTTCTTCATCTCTCTTCACCTCCTTTTCTCCTTTGGGTTTAACTTTTGCTGTCTGCCTGCAATATGGCCACAATACACCACCTAGCTGTTTTGAGCGGGAGTCAGGCTCTGGCTTCTGGTGTGGGCTGGGTCACTTCCTAGACTGGGAGCCTCCGCCCTGGCCCTCAGTAAACGGTGAGATCCGTTCCCGGTGGTCGGATACTTGCAGAGAGCAAAGAAGTATCCATAGGCCCCTTAAACAGAGAGCCGTGACACTTCAGTTAGCACTGCCCACCCCTGTCGGCCACCACGCTCTCCCCTTGATGCTACTTACTTGAATTCCTGTCTTCTGAGTTGCGAATGAGTAGGTAACTGATCATGTGGCTCCCGTGCCCTCCTGACGAACGATAATGCTGAGATTCAACAAATACCATAGCCAAGACTTGTCATGAGGTGACCAAGACCGTAGGTGTTTGTGAAGGTGTCTTAGGAAATCGTCTTATCAGATCACCACAGGGGTCATTTTTTTCCTCTCCTCCCCCCCATAACAAGGAATTGCTGGTAAAGCAGTTTGCGGGTGACGTTCAGATTTACAATCTAGGAGAAAGCTTTGCACACTAGGGGGCCTGCTGGGCACGCTGCTGTTGAGCCTGAGGGTGCAGAGTGGTAACCATGGTTTCTTGCAGGTTTGCGGCTGCGCAAGGCTGCTTGCTCTCAGGTCTGCCGGGAGGTGCCTTGCAGCTGGCACTGGCGCATGCGCGATGGGGGTCTGCTGGAAAGGAGGGCCGGAGGCAGGGACCAGGTCCCAACTCTTCCAAACCTAGCGTAGTAATTTGCAGTTTAATTCCATGTTTTCTGACTCACCCAGCAAAATGCTTGCCTCATCCATTAAGCATATTTCATCATCTAGTTTTTAAAATGTAGAGCACGGTGTTATTTTTCTAAAGCAGTGGCTTAGACACAGGCTTTTTTGGGTTGAGGAAAAAAAAATTTTTAATGTTTTTTCGGTTTTTATTTTTTACTACTGTTTGTTTTGGAGTACATAATGATTACAGTCCTTGTGTAGAGTTGGTACATGGACATAAGACGTCTTAATTCTCTTTTCTTCCCCTTCTTCCACCCTCTCTTCCCTTTCCCTCCATTTCTGGGACCTCTTCCCTTTCGCAAAAGATCTGTCTCCCTATTTTCTACCACTTGTCTCTTACTTTGCTCTTTATTTGTACTTTGGATTCTTCGTATAAGAGAAGCCATGTCGTGTTTGAGCTTGTGTGTCTGATTTATTTCGTTTAACATTATGGTATCAAGGTGCATCCATTTTTCTTGGAATAATTCAAGTTTATGAGACACTCAGGATTACGAGCTCTCCTCTGAGTTCACTGGCTGGGGTTTGAGATAGATGATTCCTTAGGTCACCGAGTGACATCTGATAAGCTCAAAGTGGGGCCAAATGGGGACAATGCACCTTAGGCATGGATTATTCTATTTGTCATGCCGCTGGGGTGACTGTGCCCAAACTCCTAGTGACTGTAGACTTGATCCCTGAATGTGGGCACGGCAGTCCATGCCCAGAGGTCCAGCCCCTATGTTGTAAAGCCCATCCTGAGTGGTGGCCCAAGGTGTGGCAGCTGTCGGTGGTTTTGGGGGCCTTGCACTTTTTTCTGCTAGTGGGTTCCTTTTCACAGAGAAACCCACTCTTTGGTCTCTCTCTCCCCATATGGCTGCAGACATATTGGTAAGGCAGGTGTGGATGCACTATCCTGACAGGCTAATGCTTGGTGGATTTGACCTTGTAATTAACCAATGTGAAGATCATTCCATGGTTTAAACTGATTGGAGTACAGTTTCTTCAATTGGGTATTGGAGAAATTGATTCTAGTTGGGAAAAGCCAAGGAGTATACTTTGGGAATTTAATTGGGATTAAGAAAGAGTCTTGCTGGCTCAATTCATCATTATTTATGTGATCTCTCTCTCTCTCTCTCTCCTTTTTGGCGAACCTAAAGATCTGACACTTTGCATCTGTTGAATTCAAGGGAAACATTTGTCTTTGGTATCACTATTTTTCTTTAAAAAAAAAAAAGTTACCAGGAAAGCTGTGTTTTTCCTTCAGCTTTCTGTGGATGGAAATTTCCCAGTAGCTCCTGGCCCTTTGGGTTGTTCCTTTTCAGAACCCTGCATGAGACTGGAGAGAGAAGCAGAGCTTCAGGGTGTGCTCTGCTGGCCTGAGTCGCGAGGTTTCCTGTAATGAAAAGTCTCCAGTGCTTTGGAAAGTTGTGTGCTTCTTATGCAGAGAATACACAGGGGAGACTATTCCTGTTCCTTGCAAGACTGTCGCTCAGCGAGTGTCACTTCCCAGTACCTGCACTGAACACCCGTCTGCCCCTGTTGAGAGCGTTTCTTCATTTTCTGTCCTGTTTATATACTGATTTGTTTTTTGAGATGGGGTCTTGTTCTGCTGGCCTCAGCCTCAGCCTCCTGAGTGGCTGGGATGACAGATGTACTGCATGGCTTCCCTCTTTTTCATTTAAAGATCTTGCGTCTTCTGCTCCTGCTTTCCACTTTCCTGAGTGAACCTTTTTTTTTCTGCTTCTCATTTTACCATTTATTATCACCGCTTTAGTCATCATTTGTTTGTTCCTTCGTGAAGCTGGATCTAACAATACTCCAAGCATCAGCTCAGATAAAATTGCATTTTATTCCTACCATACACTTAAAGATATATTAGATGCTCTGTTCATTTTTAACTTTACTAATTTTAGTTTACTTCTTTTGAGACTTGCGGGAAGACCCTGATAATTACATACCCACGTGCCTGCTTAACATTTCTCCACATATTAAACCAAAAGATTTCATATTTGCATATGCAATCCAGTGTTCCATCTCCAGTAAACGTAGAGGGGTACAAGCACTGATATTTTCTATCCTAACGTTAGTGACTGTTCCTAGCCTTCATTCATCAAATCAGTGAAGCAGAGCACTGCATCCTTTGGGTCAGTGCCTATCTGAATTCTCGTAGTAAATTTACCTGTGCTCACATGGACTGGAGACCAGGCAGTACAATACCCATTCACTATTCTTGGTTGACTAGCATTGATCTTGTATTTTTCTATTAATTTAATTTTTATACCATTAGCAAGCCTACTAGAAAAGAAACTATTAAAATGATGAGTCTTTGTGGTGTATGTGTTATCGTAGTCTTGTGAACCCAAACTGGGCAGTTCATCTCCTAGGACACCAAAATCAAGCAAGAAGCTCGCAGCTATAACACCTGCACCCAAAGTGGAAATTCTAACTGAATCATCCCCTATTGCATTTGTGTATTTTTCCATTTTATAAACTTAATTCATACTGTTTTTTACCTTATGTACTTCATGCATTGCCCTATTGCCAATGTGACAAATATCATACATGCACTGTACTACATAATATATGTATAATCAACAGTAAAAGGGTAGCCCCATGCTTATGTGCAAGTACATAGAACCAAGATAATACATAACCCATGAATTTCCTGAACAGCTCCCTGTCATACCAGGCTCGCTACGTTGCCCAGGATGGATGGGTTCCCAACTGGAAGCACAAAATATAAGGAGTATGATTCAAATACTTTTTAATATGTCTTTTTATTGTTGTTGTTGTTGGTACCGGGGATCGAACTCCAGTCCTTGCGCTTGCGAGGCAAGCGGCAGAACCACTGAGCTAAATCTCTAGCCTTTAAGTCTTTTAAATATTAGAAATATAGCTTCCACCCAAAGAAGTTTTCCTAACTTGGTTTCTACTCAGTTTGCATGACAGTGGGGGATCAGTTAGGGCAAACAGGCAGCTATTGACAAAAACATATCAAACATTTCCCGCCTGGTCAAGGTATTGTGGGTGTTAGGGATAGGCAGAAAACAAGACAAGGTCTCTGTTCCAAAGTGTTGACCTTCTGGCCTAACGATGCCACACGGTTAGGAAGCCAGTCTGGTCTTTAGAAGCAACAGGGACATCTGATGACCTGTTAGAGACTGTGTCTGTCCCATGTCCTTCGAAGTCCACCGTTAGGATGGGGTCTGTTCTCAGGAAAGGAAATCATAAGCTTGTGTTACAGGTCATGCACTTGGTGAGATGGTGCTTGCTTTTCATGCTGTGGACGTGGACGCCATCTCAGCCTCTTTGTGTGTTGCAGGTCAAGGTTGCTCAGCGGAGCCCAGCAGGGTCTGCAGAGCCCACCGTGAAGTCTGCTTCTGTCCGTCACCTTTCCGGGAGAAGCCCGGCTGACAGCCCCAGGGATGGCCCCAGAACCAGGCGCAGCCCGCTGGTCCCCAGGCCGGACGCCAGGCCCGAGCCCACGAACAGCGAGAACTGTCGGGTCCAGTGAAGAGACTGCGCCGGGCAGGACGGCCGTCTCCTCCAAGGGCTTTTCCTCATCGGGGAGCAAGCACGGCAGTGTGATCCCTGTGATCCCCGCACCTCGTCCCCTCCAGTGACCTGCGTGCAAGGGGCCAAGTGTGGAAGCACTGATCACCCAGTCCTCTACTGTAGTGTGACTAGTCCCATGTAAAGCTGTCTGCTCATTTGTTGCAATTAAATGGCAAGCACCGTGACAGCCTCTGTTTGTATGTGGAGTTTACATTAAAGAATACAAAACATGTTCTAAACTTCCAGTTGGCCACTTGTGGGAAAAACAGAGTCTTCTGCTTTAGGAGCTTTCCTGTGTGTAGTGTTAGACAGGAAATAACTTTCAATCAAAAATTTCTTTGAGCTGAAAGAAATGAAGGAAAATTGTGTTGTATGTTTCTAAGAAAAACATGTCCTTCTCTTCCAGTGTGTTTCATATGTCACTGTATAATGTGTACATACGTGTGTGTAGGGCTTTGGGGGGTGTGTGTGTTTTTTCCAGTGTTTAGAGGTGTAGCATATCATGCTTTCTGTAATGCTTTGTTCTTTTTAAAAACCATTATATTTCTTTGGTGTGCATTTTCATATCTGGTGATGTATTAAAATAGGCTTTTTTTCCCTAATAAAAATCTCTTTTCTTTGTAAAAATGTTTCCTAAATATAAAAGGTGTTGTGAATATTGGCCCCATTTCTTGCTAACAGCAAGCCTCTTACAAAAGTCAAAATGCTTGAACAAATGACAGAGATGTTTGAATACCTAATATTCGTATATTTAGTGACCATATTCAGTTATATGAAAAGACACAACTTAGACTGTCAGTCATAAAGATTATATGAGAACATGACATGTCCAGCAGGCATCCGGGACATTGTGTAGACTATTAAATCACATTAGCAGGACACGGGTAAGTAGCGCTTTCCAGCTGTGTTTATTGATGATAGTATTTTGAAACTGTGCAGGCATCATGCACCCTGTCAAATCCAAAAACATTCGAACAAGGCCATAGGTCCTTGAAGCAGAGCAAAAAAGTTTTTCAGAACATGAGTTAGGAAAAGATAAGTTGTTCTTGGCCTTCAGTTCAAATTGATGCTCAAACCTTGATAAACAGAATTTTATAATTTAAAATCGTTCTTTGCAGAGAAGCCTCTATCGCTGGATAATGTTCAAGCTAGTGAGCTGTTTAAGTATTCTTCTCTTGAAAGCGATACCTTGTTTTGCTCTTGTTTCTTCAGGTGTCCTGGGCTGAGGTCAGGTGCAAACCCTTATCCTAAGTCATCCCGTGTCTGTCACGTGCTCAAAGGCTCGGCCCAGGGCAGACATTGCTGGGTGCGGACCAGCAGCTGGAAGGGTCCGCTCTCCTTCTGGCTTGGTCGTTCCTTAGGTCCTTGTTTGGTTTGGGCACCACAGCTCCTGCTTTTGTTACTTCTGTCCCTGAACACAACGGGTTGACGCCTTGGTGAGTAAAGCGCAGCCAGGAGATGAGGGAGGTTTCTGGTGGAAGCCCCTAAGGGGAGGATACTGGGGCTCATTCTCAGAGCAGTGCCTCTGCCTGGACAGAGCAAGCAAGGAGGTGATCTTGAGGAACCCCACGCATGTTCATCTCGGACACACTGTCACACCTACATGTGGGCACACTCCTGAGAATGCCCAGTTTCAGCTCATGCTGCTTCATAGCTTGTTTAAAAATGGCGGACTGGAAGTCCCTGGGGTAAAGAATTTAGCTTTACACCGTAATGAGTGAAATTACTTCAGGTCAGCTAGAAGAGGGCCTGGGTGGCTTTGGCTGGTTTAAACTGGTGCCTTATCTTCTCTGGAGGATCTCAACTGAAATTAACTAGATAGACCCACCATTTAAAAGGGGTATCAGCCCTTTCCCTGGAGTGATTGACACCTGCCTAGTGGCTAACATTTTATAATTGTAGGAAATGCTTCAAAACCTTATTTAAAATATAGGCAGGTCATTATTCTTTTCCTCAAGCTGTCAGTACTTGTTAAATGTGAATAGAGCCCAGTATGAGATGAAAAGTAAATATGCTACAGCCCCAGCTCTCAGTTACCTTCTAAAGTGGTTGAGTCACAAGGTCCCAGCTGACAAATCACATGGTGACACAGACCAAGACCAGAGATGAGGGAATCCAATTCTCCTTTATGTGTCAAGGGCTCGGTGGGATGTCACCTCTTCCTTGAACATTGTGTAGGAACCGAAAAGCCCTTTGTGTTATTGGTAATTGTCAGAACTGACTGCATCTTCGATAAGAAGGTAAGGAACACTAACATTTAAATCCAACCTGCTTTGTTAAGAGTTAGTCTTTCACTTCTCCCTACCTCCTTGTATATCTTTGAGATTTACGATTTTTCTCATTTGACCTCAATTTATTTATCGGAACTTTCAAATAGGCATATTTAAATCTGGAAAAGAAGTCAGGTCCTTCCCACAGTCCTGGGAGGGGACACCTCCACCTCCCTAAAGGTTTGATTCTTCAAAGGTCTCTAACCTCAAGTTACTCAGAATGTTGGTGGTTATTTTAGAGTTTCTAAGTTCTTCAAAAATCCTTTGGACCACAACAGTACATCATGAGAGAGATTTAACTGGCAGCCAGGCCCTGATCAATTCTTTAAAGTCATAGATTTATCGCACCACTCGCAAGTTGGGTTGATCACAAGTGAGGTTTTCATTCCCTTGTGGATAAACAGGGAACTGCAATGGCTTCTCCCAAGTGCCTGGAATTGGTAGGTACCGTGGCAGCTGACCTATGTGCTCCCTGACTTCTGATCACCTAAGCCGCCTTCCCTTTGGGGGAAGGGGACCCAAAGAACTTGGCCGTTCTCATCAGGAAACCTTGAGGATGGAAAAGCTTATGTCCGCCAGGCACAAGTGTGGCTAGTGCCTCTACCCAGCTGAGCGTGAGTGAACTATTCCCCATGGGGTGGGAAATTCTACCCACTTCATAGGTGTACTCAGACCCTACATCTTTGTGAAGGGTATGGTAGAGTCTCCATTTTATTTTGAGGTAGAGATTAAGTAACAGTGGCAGAACTTCTGATTCCTAGATCTGGGGAGATCTTGTTCAATAATTAAAAAGTGCAAAGTGAGGGTTATCTTCATTGGAAAAGAGATGGAAGGAGCTCAGAGAATTGAAGTATTTGTTCAGGAAGGGGCAGAAGGTGGGTCTGACCTCAGCTTCATAAACACGGAGTCTGTTCTCATTTGTCCTCTGCCTCTCTAGAAGCAGGCTGTGCCAGGGTAATTCTGACAGTGACCATATTGCAGAGGGCAGAAGTAGCTGTCCCACTTGCTGTGTGCAGCACAGACACCATTAAGTCTGGGATGATGGCACCTGATTTGTGTTACCTGTTCTGAAATCTCAAAATACAAAAGAGATAGGAATTTCCACCCAAAGAAACTGTAGCTACTAAAAATGCATAAGCATTATTACATAGAGGCAAATCCTTTAAGAGACTGTCTTGGCGAAGTCTGAAGATTTATAAGCCTTTGACTTTCAGTATTGTGCGACATTACAACTGAAAGTCGGTTGTCAGAATGCCCAGGTTCTCTCTTTGACCTTGAGCAAATTACTTCTTCATGCTCAAGTTTAGCTCATTGGTAAAACTGGGTATAATAATACCTCTCAGAATTCTCATGGGGATTGAATTGGGCAATTGGCTCATAGTTAACTGTTCTTATAATTTTGCACTCAGGAAAATGTTAATTTCTCAGTATACAGTTATTGCATGGATAGTTTTTTTTTAAAATAGCTTAAGACTGTTGGATACATCTGTACTTCCTATGTCAGACATTAACTTCATTCAACTGCTGTCATAAAAAATTCTCACCATTCTCAATGTCGTGCATATTTTTAAAGTAAGCTTAATTGCTACAGATTAGTACATATTGTTCAATTACTGATCATTTGCTTTGGGTGGCTTTTGTTTATTTGGCTCGTTAAAAATATCCAAGGAGGGCTGGGGATTTAGCTCAGCAGTTCAGTGGCCTGCCTTGCAAGAGCAACGACCTGAGTTCAATCCTCAGTACCACCAAAAAAAAAAAAGGGAATTAAAAATATCCAAGGAAAACAATTACTGCAATTTTACTAACAAATGAGCTGTGGTCTCAGAGTTCAAATATAAATTGTTTTTTGGGGGAACTCAGACTACATTTCTTTATAGAAACAACATAGCAAATTGTGCCTACATCCAAGCCCAGCAAGCCGATTTAGTCCATGAGATGTCAAAATTACAATTTGGTTTTTCTCTACTATAGAAAGCATCATAGCATCATTTCTGCAGAATGATATATTTTAGGAATGAGGTTGTCTGAAGCTCAATTTTCTACCCCTCGACCATTTTCCCGTGTGGTCCGTTCTTCTCTTCCCACTTTGAAGTAGGGGTCAGGAATTGTCTAGGGTCCTCAGGATAGAGATGGTGATATTGGCTCCTGTCTGCCACCTCTCTGTGATAGCATCTGCTCCCAGTCCCAAAGGGGATGGATGAGATGGCATCACAGTGGCTGTGCTGCAGGTGAGGATGGCTCTGGGTGATGCTGGTGTATTAAGTCAAACTTCGTAAAGTTCTCTCTCAGATTTTGCTCCAGTCCACAAATATCCCACCAGCCTCCATCCCCAGAATCCAGACTAGTGGCTGGGTAAGATTGCTATTTGTATTCCCTTCTCCAGGATATCCCCATGACCAGAGGGTAGTGTGTAAAATGAAGACAATTTCCAAACCCAGTACTTGGCAGTTTCAAATGCTTTACCTCATTTGATATTAAATAATCCCGAGAAGTCTCAAGAAGAAACCTAAACAGGTTAAATTTGGGTGCTGTGGTCTTGGGCTCCACATCCAGAGCTGCTCATACGTTACCACCCACCTCTCCAGTAGAAAGGAAAGGGATTTAGTCCTCTAAGAAAGCAACTGCAAGCCTGGCAGGTTCCTTCCAGAGTTCCATTCTGAACACAGTGGGGGAAATGGTCTTTAGTCAGGGATTAATGCAGTTTTTCACTGCTAAGGAAAATCTGCTCTATTTTACTTCATTCAACCTGCTGATGTAGTCAGGGATTTGGCAGTCAGATTTCCAGCAAGAATTACCTTGTGGTAAGCATAGGGAATTGTACTTCTTCCAGCTTTGTTTTTTTTCCAATGCTGCTTTTGCAAGGGGTAGGAAAACAGGAAGCTTTCCAGTTATAGGCCATCTAGAGAAAACACTGGGATGGATATTTCTGAGTTTTAGATGAGCTGGATGTTGAAATAGCAGCTGTGTTATCTAACAGAGCAACTGCTGGCTCTGTACCCATCCCTTCTGCTGGATCTTGGCCCTCAGGGCAGGCCACATGAGGGTGTTCTTTGTGCTGGAAGCTGTGTTTGTTGCTGTAATGGTCATCTTCTTGGACTCAAGCCAGCAGAGGGCCAGGAGGGTGCCCCGGGTTAGCCCACAGTGCTTTGTTCCCTGTGTGCTCTTTATGCACAGCCCACGTGGTGTTCCTACACATTGGCCTGGTGCTTACTTCCCTTGAACACCTGAGGAAGGAGAGATGTGCCGGCGCTCTGCGTTGATCACAGGTGTGGCGAGTGCACAGACCATTTTACTTCTGAAATA